AAAAAAAAAATATATATATATATATATATATATATATATATAGAAAACATTGCATACATGAAAATACCAGTAACCAATTAATTTATGAACCCAATGATTTTATATGTACAATAATAACGATGAAAATATATATAAATATATTATTTTTTAAAATTAATGCTACTAAATTTATCAGCATGGTTTTATTTTAATTTTTTATTATAAGGCGTGATAATACTAACTTTTTTTTTTTTTTTGATTAATTTGTTAATACTAAAAAAGGAAAATGAATTAAAATAATAATATTAAAAAAATATAAATAAATGCCTTGGTCGAGGTTGAAATTATGAATGGACTTGGCCTACCTGAAAGCACAGAAGTTAGTATCGTACGTAGATCCCCGCTACCATACCGCGATTTTGACACTTGACCAACCACATTTGTGATAAACAAATTATGTAGACAGGCTGTACCATTTGCGTGTCTTGCCCTTCTGCCAAATCACCATAAAAAAAAAAAAGAAGAAAAACCAGAGAAATTGCCTCACTCGCATCCAACACATTCACACAATCCATTTATTTTAAACATTGTTGTTGTTTTTTTTTTTTTAAATTTTATTATTCACATGAGTAAAGTAATTCCCAATTGAATTGATAGATTACCCCTTAGTAATCCTCAGGCTCCGTCACCTCTTCTACAAAAACAACACAACCACATTAAGCATTGGCCAAAAATTTCCACATACAAATGATGATACATAATTATTATTATTATTATTGTTGTTGTTGTTGTTGTTGTTGTTGTTATTGTTATTACTGTGTGTGCATCCGTTATTTCATTGAGAAATTTGATGACATAATTTTAAATATTTATTCTTTCACCTCTAAAACCACTCACCATCGTGCGACTGCTTCCAGCTGGAACTTATGAGAATTATATTTGCGATACAACAATAGAGAAAGATAAATAAATAAGTAGATATATATTTTATATTAGTTAATGACTGTGAACAACAATGGCAATTTATAAATATATTATTACATTGAGAAAAATTTTTTGAAAGTAGCAATTAAGTAATATTCCACAATTTTATTAAGAAAAAAAAAAAAAAAAAAAAAAAAAAAAAACCGTAATAATAACTGAAAACAAAAACCACAGTGTCATTGTAGAATAATTATCTTAATTGGTATAAGATATACCTGGAAACCCAAGTAAAGTTACGGATAATAAAAAATAGTGATATTAATAAATTAATACCTCTGTTTTTTGTCCGTCTATTCATACTCTTGTTTTTTTTTTTTTGTTCATAGAAATGTATCAAGGATAATAGACGTACTTGTATCCAATATACTACCTTTATCAGCTTCAATAAAATTAATTAAATAAAAAAATAACATTTATTATAATTACCCTTAAAAAAATAAGCCATGCAATTAAAATAATGACGAATAAAAATACTATTTAGTATTTTTATGATTGAATGTAGTAGCAGAAATAATATAAATAAAAATAATAATAATAGCAAAGAAGATGATAAATAATAGCAGTTGGAAAAGTACGTCTATGAGGTTTGTAATAAGGATAAGAGTCTACCAATACCGACAAGCGCAAAGATAACCACAAGACACGTTTACATTTATTAAACATGATTATTGAATATTATTAAAAATATAATTATAAATTTACAGAAAGTATACAGCGATAAAAAATTATTATTATTATTTGTTTAAATTTTTTAATAATTATTCAAGTGATAGCATAATAATGTTGGTGCTAACATTGGCAGCAACCTTATATCCCATCTAATAATAACTAGTATAATTAGTATTTTATAGAGAATAAAAATTTATTTTCTTCAATTTATCATGACACAAAATTTTTTGTCTTTGTAAAAGTGTGTGTGTGTGTGTGGTGAATGTGTATGTGTTTATCAATTAATATTGTAGATACAATGTTTTTATAAATGATTTTTATCAAGTTAGAGGCAATAGTGTTAAGCTTTAAAACTATAAACAATTTAATCCCCTCAAAAACTCCTTTCTTTTTTCTTTCTTTCTTCTTTAATAATTGTTTCATAGTTGAGAAAACATTACAACACAGAATAAAAAAATAATTTAGGCACCATATTAGCTATCAGTCCGATCCCATAAATTATCCAAAACACACATGTATAATATATATTTTTTGGATTATAATTTTTAATCTATAAAAAGAGCTGGGAGTTAGTGGAAAATAATTATTTTGAGAGATTGTAAATAGAAAAAAAACTTATACACCATAAATCCACCATTTATACAATGCTATTTGTTTTGTTAAATTAATAAACTACAATCCACAAAATTATCACACTTATACACATATACATCCACACACACCCACATATGAAAATAGGTGTACCATTAACCACTTTAAATAATATCAAATGTAAATATCTATAAAGATAATTAACTAATGATAAAAATCTTAACTAAGATATTTTGTAGAGTTTAACGCGAATTATAATGTCATTTCAAACAAGGCATTTTTATTCTTTATTCCTTATTTATAAGTACTTTAGCGAAATATATATATATATATATATATATATATATAAAATTTATTATTAAATTACATATGCTTGTGAGATATTTTGTTTAAAACTATCACCAGGTGTATATTATTAATGGAAGACCAAATTGTCAAAAGTAGAGATGAGAAAAAAAAAAAAAAAAAATAAGCAATGAGAAAATAAATTTAATGATTTTAAACGTCCATTAATAAATAATTATTTAATAAACTAAAAATTATGATATTTAATTGCATGCAAGTATGTCACTCAAGTGAGTATTGAGTCATCTCTGAAGCAAGAACACCATTATAATAATTTTTCATTATTATTTCATCACGTGGCAAGATATTATTATTATTATTATTTTTATACGCTATTGAAGTGGACAAACTTTGATTTGAAATAAATTTCATGGGAATGTTTCAAGTTAAAACGCTCAATTATTCAAAATGTAAACAAATGATAATAAAAAATTATTGTATAAAAATAATATTGATTATTTATACTTTCACACAAGTATAAATATTTGGAAAATATATTATAAGATTTTTTTGTATCCAATAATATATCGTTAAATATAGATTATTGCCAATAGGACTATTGTAAATATATATATATATATTATCATAATTGATAATTAATAAAGATCTTAATTAAATCATCGGACGGTTTCATGATTTAAAATTAATCGTCACTAAGACGTTATAATAATTATCAAAAAACACTCTAAATATAAATCTGTATATATAATTTTAAATGTTATATATATATATTTATTTATAAGAGTTACAAATTTGTAAAAAATATAAATATAAATATTTATGCCAAAGTTTATCTAAGTTGGAAGTGATTACTTAATACCTCGATCGGTATTATTTATTTATAAAAAAATGCCATCAATTTCTAAGTACTTTTTTTAGCGTGTGCGCCGTTTTCAAAGATAGAAAAAAATAGGTATAGTGTAAAAAAAGCAATGGAAAATGGTATATATATTTATTCTTAATAAAAAAAAGAAAAAAAATATAAACTATATTGAAAATAGCCGCTTGATTATTGATTGTACTTTGTTTCAGACACAACCATTAAACCGTAAGAACTATTCTTATCAATGATATATATCGAGTCTGTCTTTTTAAGTGTGCAAGATTAATCACATATCGATTAAGTAAATAATTAAAAAAAAAAATAATAAATAGACTGAGGTTATTTATTACATTTGAGGATAAAATTGAGCAGGGTAGGCAAGGCCGGATGTACCAGCAGAAGCAGCGGCAGCAGCAGCGGCTGCTGCGTGATATGCCGCTGGTGCTTGCCAAGTTGGACGTTTTGGTACACTGGAAACAGTATCAGCAGCAGCAGCAGCAGCAGCAGCGGCAGCGGCAGCAGCAGAAAATGCATTTTCCCATGACCTTTTAATACCCATAAATGCCGCGGGATTTATTTGTGGAGTTTGTACAATGGGTGATAAAAGTCCATGGGGACCGGGAGGCCGAAGAATTGGAATTCTTGACGGCATATTGAAAAATAAAAACGGCGGTTGTGTTTGTGGAGTGTGAAGAGGAAGCGATGCTGCGTGAACAGCAGCAGCAGCAGCAGACGCTGCATGATGATGAGAATGTGGATGATTTAATGAGTAAGTTGATAACTGATGCTGAGTGGGTGAAGGAAGAGCAAGAGCTTTACTAGTAACAACAGCGTTTTGTGATCCGTTAGTTGTTGATGTTGGTGGTGGTGGATTCGCGGCAAGTGCCATTAACCAAAAATCTTGATTTCTCATAGCTTGAGCTTGGACTTGAGCTTGTGCTTGAGCTTGGGCTTGGGCTTGTGCCTGTACTAATGTATGTAAATCCCATAACGGGGGTTGGGTGGTTGTTTGTACCGGCATAGGTGCTGCCGCGGCAGGAGGAGCTAGGGCCGGGTGTGTATGTGAGCTCAACGTACCGGATGAGAGAAGCGATTTGGCTACTGGTGGCGCTGCACCTGTCAATACCAGATTCATGTCATCTCCGCTGCATTGGAACACTTCGATGTAACGCTGTTTCTTCCCAAATATCATGTACCGGTGGTGACGCTGTGACGCGCATGCGAATGCTGAATTTTCGCTGTCCATTTGAATAAATGCTTCACCCGACGGTTGACCCTGATTTAACAATTTATTAAAAATAAATTAATAAAATAAATATTGTATATTATTAATTTTATTAATAATTTAATTACTTGGGAATTGTAGACCATATGTACTCCACGGTAGACAATATGCTTCGCGTATTCCCCCATAAATTCCAAGATATGTTCAACTAACGCTTCATAAGGAAGACCACGTAATCTGACACAGTCTTTTCTTGTTCCTGATGTTATTATATACTGTGGAAGCAATGGAGGAGGAAGTGGTAACATTGATGTCATATCAACCGGTGGTTTAATGTCTATAGCTCTATTGAGAACCTAAAAACAATAATAATAATAACAATATAATAGAGATTAAAAAAAAAAAAAAAATTCAAGTACACACTTGTTGTACTTCTGCAGTCGTACTCCGGAACAACTCGATATATCTAACTCCAATACAATCACGGTGTTTGCTAAGCGCTTTTTCAGCATCAGCTTCTTTAGCAAACAAAACAAAAGCATCCCCTGTAGCTCTGCCGTCTGGCTTTTTGACAAACAGCACTCCATCTTCACCGTCAAGTACTTGACACGGATTTTGCCCACCGGAAAAAAATTCAATCTAAGAAAAACATCAAAACATACATATATACTATAATATGTATACGGTACTTGGTTGTTTTATAAGTGTTATTGAAAGAAAGAAAGAGAGAGAGAGAGAAAAAAAAAAAAAAAAAAAAAAAAAAAAAAGTAAAATAAAAGTTATTATTAACTAACCACTTGTTTAGCAACGCAGTCGTATGGTAAACCTCGCATTCTCACAATGACTTGAGCACCACGCGAGAGAAATGCATGAGCTTCACCGCTAGCACCACCTGCAACTCTTACAAATTCCTCGCCAGATGATTTGTACACTTCGATGTACCGTTTGCCAATGTGATGCTTATGCCTTTTTAACGCCATGTCTCTGTGTTCTTTATTAACAAATCTTACTAAAGCTTCACCGTTGCGTCTGCCTTGGGGACTTAGACATAAGGCTACTCCACCCCTAAAGTTTAAATAAAATAAATTAAATTAAATTAATCAACTAATCATCAATCAATCAATCAATCATACAAATACTATGAATAAATATAATCTTTGACCTCAGATAAATCTTATCAAAAATTAAATGAAAATATACGATTATCTAGGTAAATTTTATGCAATACATATTTTAAATTTTATTTTGCATTTGTAATAAATTTAAATGACTTAGGACTACTATTATTACGATTACCTTAATGGATCAGTCCTATAAATTTGACCAGCAAATATAACAATGTTAAATTACAGTTATTGTACGTAAAGTACAAAATAAAATAAAATATTTATTTAACTTACTTGGCAACATTTAACCCACGGAAAAATTTGGCAATATCTTGGTCTGATGATTGCCACGGCAAACCTCGGGCTCTCACAACACAATTGTTATCAACTTCTTCATCCTTTGAACTAAAATATAAAAACCACTTTTAAGTATATATTTTATTTAAAAAACTTTAATAATAAATATTAATATTTAACTAACCATATACCAGGTTCTAGAACAAGATTTATTACTTCAGGGGTCTGGAATATGTGTCCTGAAAATAAAATTACTTTATAATAACGTATGGATATTATATATAATAATACATGATTCATTTGCTAACGTTTTAACGTAATTCTACACCTTTATTCTGTATCTTATTTCTTAAATATTTATCATTATTTTTTTTTTTTTTTTTTTTTTTTTTGTTTCACTAACCAAACTTGCATTTCAGTCTTTTATTCGAGTTATTTAATGAAAGTTCAGCAGGATATTTGATTTTACAGAGTTTGCTAAATTGCTCGAGCTTACGACACAATAAATAAATAAAACTGCTTTAAATAAATCAATCCATTAATATTTTTAAAAATATATTTAAAAATTAAAATGAGTTGAGAACAACTGAGATAAGAATAAGAATATTGCAGCAGCTCTTGTCAACTAATAATATCTAACATACTGTATATATTTATATTAATAAAAAAAAAAAATATTTTTTTTTAATTAATAAAGATAAATGAAATTTATTTCTTTTTCTTCTCTTATTCGAAAACCTTACCATCTTTGATCATTCTTTGTATAACATTAACCATATCTTGAACTTCTTTTACGTGAAAATCATTATCAGTGTCTGGCGACATGCCAAAATCTATTTATTTATCAAGTTAAGGAATCAATTTGCTTAAACATATCTTGCTGATTAATCAATAAAGAATAACTCACCAAAATTATAATTATTAGAAGCAATTGGCCCGTAAGAATTTTAATAAAATAGATGTTAATTGTATCGATTGTATCGATATTTTATGAATATGGTGGTGATGGTGATTGTGACCTTTAACCCGAGCAAACTGATAAGGATTGCTCTAACCTCGTGTCTTTTTACGGTAGATATCACCAATACATAACAAAATAACGAATAGTTATTGGCTCCTATACTGACCTAATCATTTATTTTAATGCTCTAAAAAATTTTTATCGAGCCTTAATAATCCATTAATTTTTTTTACTTTATTGTTATTACTATTATTGTTAAAAGACATAAAAATTAGGATGTATATAAATTCTTTTAAATTAATTAGTTACAATAATATAAAATGAAATAAAGAAATATTACACACCCGGTAAGTGTAAGATTGAAAATGAAATAAAAAAAAAAAAATATTCGATTGATTACACCTGTACCAGATGCTTTTTATGGCTTTATTAATAATTTTTACTGCAGGTATGTTCCAACATATACTTGTACAATAATAAAATACATACACACATAACTGTCGGGACACAACTGGTTGGATTAATACAATGGTGGACGGTGTCTCAAGTTTATAACTGTTGATTTTTTTTTATTTATTTATTTTTTTTCTTTCTCAGCACTCTCCAGTGTTAAAGTATACACTGAGAAACAATTAAATTTAAAGCCAAAATAATTAATGAAATAATTAAAAATCTTGTGTCCTTGAAGCCGTGTGATGATGTATTTTATTTATTTATAATATATGCCTCACACTGACAGCAGAAACTCCAAATATATTTAAACCGGCTTTCGTACTGTCGCGTTAAAACTAAATACAAGCACCTGTTGATTCACTAGAGATGCAACTTTAAACTCAATAGTAATAAAAAGTCCTGATAGTTTAATTTAAATAAAATTATTTATTTATTACATACCCAATCCAGAAACTCGAAATGTATTATTGTTTGTAGTAATTAGTAATAAAAACACTATAATTAATTAATGGAGTACTTGGAAAAAAAAAAAAAAAAAAAAAAAAAAAAAAAAAAAAAAAACTAGTACTACCAAATGATGTACTGGTTAAAAAAATAGTCTTTGAATAATATTATCTTTGAATGTAATATACTTGTAATGCAGCTGATGTAGATTATACGAGGCTACAAGACCGTTTATTACTGGCGTACGGGTAGAGTTTTGTAAAGTCCCCTGATACCCGACGAGGTCTTTACCGACCATTTCTGCTATGTAATCACAATTCCACATATATTCCTTATTTATCGATGTGTTTGTCAACGGCAAGCATACCGATTCATATATATGTACCAATACTAACAATCACACTTGTGTTACACGCGCGCTTAAATACGACAGACGCTTGCGCAGTTCTGTTATCAAAACCCGCGATAAATGACAATTGTTCAAAAATTATATATTTAAATAGGAACTATCTATTGTTATCAATCGATTATTTTACAATCATAATTTTTGTTATTAAATATAAAATTAAATTCTTCATTATGAGTAGATTTTTTTTTTTTTTTTTTTTTTTTTTTTTTTTTTTTTTTTTTATTTAATTATTCATGAAACGAGCAAAGGTACAGGGTCACAGGTTAGCTAGTTATCGTTGCTATGTTGTGTAATATAATATTAGTAACATGGCAAAAATCTCGATGACAAAGAATTAAAAAAAAAAAAAAAAAATAAACTGAGATTGAATAACCCAGAGCATACGTGTACCAAAAATAAAGTTTAAAATATTATCATGTATTACAAGTATAGAATAAAATTCTTGTGGGTCAAGCCATTTGTGCGCAGAGTCTCAATTTGAATTTTATGGACAACTAATGTTTAATGTATGCGAGGCTTTAAAGTATATGCTCATCGTGGTCATGTGTGACGCACATTAGGTGATGAGATAGGTGACCTTTAACGTTCCGTTTACAACCAAATAGAAATGGAAGAAACTTTGTGTCTTAAAAAAAAAAAGTAAATAAATAAATAAATAAACTTTAAATACGTAAATCTCTTACTTTCATAAATTATAAATGATATACTTTAGAGAATGTTTTTTTAAAAAGGGTTATCGTATTGAAACAATTTAATCTGGATAATTACTAAATTATTTAAATAAATGCAGCAATACACATGCAATTGCAACGTTAAGAAACAATGACACGGTTGACCTGCGTTTAATATGTTATTCAAGAATATCTGTAACGACTATATTCTTTAGAGCATACAGTATTGCTTCAATAGTAATAAATAAATTTTATTATTATTATGTTATTACCTCAGACTATTAATTTTAAAAATTGTTACTATAAATAAAACTAAAAAAGGATACATTGAATCATTTCCTGGATACTGGGGGTAGCAAGCTCTCCTTGAGTTGAATAACAACTGGTAAATTCTTTGCGTAGATCATAAAAATAATTGTAATATTCCGGGAGGTCTAGATCTTTATTGTAGCACTCAGGATGAAGACATTGTCTTAAAGGAGCTTGCCCATCAACCACAAAACGAGGTGAACTTCCGGCGGATACACATGTCAACGATGACCACCAACTTTCAAACTAAAAATTTCAAATTATAATAATGATTAGTTTATTTTTATAATAATAATAATAATAATAATAATAATAATAATAATAATAATAATTACTAGTCGTTGATTATTCAATTATATAAAGCAGTTTAAATAGCAAAATAGATTTTTATAAAATAAATTAACAATCTTTCTCTTATATATTATATATATATAATGGAGTAACTATACCCGTATAATATTTTTTATCAATAATGTATTCATGAAGCAAACACTTATGTTGAATTTAAATAATTCAAATGCTTTATAATTGTTATTATTATTATTATTATTATTATTATTATTACCTTGTTGTAATAGCTTGACTCAATGACGCCGTGCTCTCGAAGAGTTTGTTTTTTTATCAATAATGTATTCATGAAGCAAACACTTATGTTGAATTTAAATAATTCAAATGCTTTATAATTGTTATTATTATTATTATTATTATTATTATTATTACCTGTTGAATAGCTTGACTCAATGAAACGCCGTGCTCTCGAAGAGTTTGTTCATTTAAATTTGGAGCGTGAGTTAATGCGGTTTCACTAATAACACTGTTTGACGTTGTTGATCCTGAAGTGTCATCCTCTTGACTTGCTTCCAATAAAGAAGATGGTTGTACTATATACTGTTGATGACCTATCACCTAAAAATAATATAATTATTATTATTAATATTATTCATAATATCAACCATGAAAAATTATATTTATATTTATTTAATGATAAAAAATCAATTTATTTTAAAAATTATATACAAATGAATTAATTGATTAAATAGTTTAATAATTTACCTTACTTACAGATACAAAAAATACATAATTGAAATTTTGGTGAATAATTTTATTGATTAAAAAAAAAAAAAAGTTTCTATTGATGAATATTTACATCAGTTAACATAATGATAAGACTATAATCAAAGCTGAGATTTTTTTTCTGATTATTATTAAATAAAATCGTATTATATTTATAATTTATGTGCATAAACGTATAGATATTTATTTATGATTTAATTAATTTTCTCATTTTTTAACATATGCAGCAAAAAAAATTCAAGAGATTTGAAAATGCTCAAGTCAATCAATAAAAATTAATTGTATGAATGTGTTATACACATATTAGTTAACTATAATAGTAAGATATTAGGTATACATGTATACTCGAGGTAAATCATATAATAAAAAGTATATATGTGTAGAGTTACCGTAGACGTGACAGCCGATAATTTTTATTATTACGTGTATCAAAGATAATTACATTGAATTAAGTATTGTAGCTTTAGTAACTAATAAATTATCTTTAAAGGTTTTTCTGGTAATATATAATAGATAACTAACAGAAAAACATTAAATTAAATAAATATATATATATATATATATATATAAAGTAACGGGTTAAAATTCGCAGTAATGGCCGGCGCGAATCTCTCGATGGACGACCTTCCGAGGGCGCGACGCTCCGCCTCCGCTACCAGATATTATTTTAAAAACAATGGCAGCTGCTCTACATGCTTCATATATGCAATCATATCTATTATCTCACACCTTATCTTTCATTTTATTATTATCGTACTTGTGTGTTTACTTTTAAATAAATTTCAGTTTTTTCACACTTAATTTCGTACATTCAGTTACTAAAGTATTTCATTGATAAAGTTATTACAATTTCATAATTTACAATTTTTGGTAAAAAAAAAAATCCCAAAGATTATCACCTGGCTATTAATTTAAGTATCTTATAAATAAATAAAGTTACTCCAATAGATAAATCAAAACTTTGATAATGATTAAAAAAAAAATATGAAAAATATAAAACTATGTATTTATGATGAAGCAAAGAAAAAAAAAAAAAAAGATGAAAATGCAAAAAGACGAGTGTTACATAGAGTGACGAAGCGAAATATTTCTGGAAAATAAATACTTGTAGGTATTTCTTAAATATAACGTTCAATAATAATAATAATAATAATAATAATAATAATAACAACGACGACGTTTGACAAGGTCATATTGAAATTTCTTAAAGTTAAAAGAGATAATATGACAACATATTATAATATTAATTATTACTAATAATAAACGTTACCTTATTTTGGAGCACATCGATGAGAACATAAATAATAAGTATAATTTCTTCTTCATCAGAGCCGAGTGCATTGCCCTGTAGTCCTGCGGTCGCTACGTAAAGAACGACAAGGTGGCTCGGTCCTTTTTCTCCCGTCATCATCTGCATTTTTTTAGAGCTCCTTCAGGCGCTTATAGCGCCGTACTTGAGCTCTTTTACTACACTTGTCAACCGCACTCACTATTTTTAATAACTATAATTACAATTTAATATCACTGATGTGTAACTATATTAAATTTACTTACGAAATAACTAAGTAAATCTTGCCCGTTAAAAATATTATTACTTAAATACTTTTTCATACAATTGTCTTGATCAACACATCAACACGTATTATTTGTCGATACTCGATATTATCTAACAATTGATTATGTATTATTTTAACTATAATAAAAGGTTATGGTGAGCACTTGGTAAGAAATAAAAAAAAAAATACTAATATAACCAACCGAGTACCATCAGGTGTATAGTATTAGATTTACACTAATAATTGGTTGGTATATACAATAATCACTTTGGTACAAAACATAAAAATAAAAAAAAAAAAAAAAAAAAAAAAAAAAAAACTTTTATAAAAATTGTTAAACACTTTTAAGCACACTGTAAACAAAATTAATTAATGAAACAAAAAATTAACAAAACTAATAAACTCAACAGTTTGATAAAACTAAAAATGAAAAAAGAGCAACGTAAAGTTTTATTTTGTCGCTCACACGTCTCAGGTGATCGCGCGCACTGTCGTTGGCTCACCTGGCGACTGCGCGTCGTTTGCGATTCGTCTGTCCCCTCCCCTACTTCACTGTTACCACCGACAGGCTCCGTTCAATCTATTTATCCTTCTCTCTTTCTTCATAACCTTATATTCTTTTATCTCTGTTAGCCATACGTATACACGTATTATTCCTATGATGATGATGATGATGATGATGATGATGATATGATAACAATAGTCTCGTTCGTTTTATGTAGTTATTACTACTATTACTACTACGTCTAGTAATGATAATAATAACAATAATATTATATATGTAGTTATTTTTTATATAAATACACTGTAAAACAAATGTTATTTGTTTATAGTAAAATCTTATCCACTTGTACTTTTAAGATTTTTCCAAGCGTAATAAAATAATGAAATACAAAAATATTATTGAGTTTAAAAATTTTAGGGGTTTGGTAGTTTTTTGAGTGGACAATGAGCAATACAACTGTAAAATGCAGGCCCAGGTAGGAGAATCAAAGGGAAAGGTGAGTTTTTACGTGTCTACGTGTCTACGTGTCTATGTGTCTATGTGTGAATAATCTGTAGGTATTTATAGAGTGTATTAGTGTCTATACGCCAGGTAAGCCAGGTGTTCAGACCCTCCACTCGTGTATCGTGTATACTTGTCCAGTTCTCTCTACTCTATAGGTTGCTATAGGTACAACAAGTCGACACTCTTTTCCCCTTCCTTTTTCTACTATTTGGTTCTTCATCATCCCTCCACTTTTCTACATCCCTTCTCACAATACTACGTCTGAACGTCTAGACTTTGAACGATCACTACAATTTCCAAAGAATTCATAAAGATTACTGTTAAGTTATAATTATAATCCACCGTTTCATTGTTATTATTATCATTAATGTTCATTACCTTTATACATACAATGCTTTATTTCATTCAATTATTTTCAAATTCAGTACAAAAGTCTTTTTTTTTATTTTTTCATTTTCACTATTTATCTGAAACAGAAAAACTAACATAACTTTTCAGAAATTGATAATAACCCGAAGAAAAAAAAAATAAACAAAAAAATATACAAAATAATAATAAGTATTATAAATTCTTAAAACCACATAGGTACCGTTATTTTGTGTTTATTCCTGATGTATACTTATGAGTATGTATGTATGTACAAAAAAAAATTAATCGTTTCATTCCTTGTTAACTATAATAACTGGCATGTATCCAGGCATTAAAAAATATCTATACTTCAAGATATATCCTTATTTATATTTTTTGTACAAGAATTATGACTAATTTGAATATTGTTAAAAAAAAAAAAAAATATTGAATTTTCTACTATCTGATGGGCATTTCATAATAAAACTTAAAAAGTTTTAAAGTTTAAATAAATCAATGTCGTAAGAATAAATTTCTACAGCGACTTTTACTATTTATTTATAAGCATTTTTAATAAAAAGAGGAAAATAAATTACCTATATACATATATGACGGTGAAAGATGAGTAAGACAATCAACTTGAACTTGAATAAACGAATATATATACAATGTAACGCAACATACACATATATATCTGGTAAAATTGTTGCGTGTGGAGTATCTAGATGTTTGTTAGTATATACTGTAATGAAATTCAGTTTACATGATGGTAAAATCCGTTGATATAGTAATGTATGGATAATATCAATCCACATATATTACATACAATACATTTAAAGGTGAAAATCCGATGTATATACTGGTGAGTAACACTGGTGTTGGTTTTGGATTCAACCAGCTATTGGACGGTCACCTGTTGCTCTTTCATCTTTTTGTTCCCATTGGTCGTAAGCAATTGATGCTTTTTAAACATGACACAGCCGACGAGACAAGTGCACCAAGGGCTATAATGAATTTAATTTATACGTAGTAGTCGAGATTCAATTTAAATTTTCATTTAAATTAATTGACATACATTATTGGAGTAATGATACTTTCTGGACCAATTCTAAGTTTATTGCTCTGAAATGCCAAAACAATTTTTTATTGCATAAAACTAATAGAATATTCTATAAATTATGGATCGAGAATTAAGCCAGTGTATTGTAGAAAATATCTGTGTATGTACCCAGTATTATATATAGGGATGTAGTCATCGCCAGAGCGCGGACGTTGTACCGTAAGTCACGGTGCTGCAATCAAAGTATAGAAAAATAGAATCCTCGGCTTTATAATTATTATTATCATCATCATTTTTTATTAATTCATTTTTTTTTTTTTTTTTTTTTTTTTTTATGGACAATCAACCCATATTTTTTGTTGCATGCATCAGTAACTATGACAGGTGTTTGATGCGGGTTATTTCTGAGCTACACGTCTATGCGTACAATTTATTTTCATTTTTCAGTACTGAGAGTAAATATATTTTTTAATGAATTTTTAGTAAAATTAAAAATGAATCGTCTTCTAATGGATATATCTTGTCTGATGATGGAAGTAGAGATGTGACGACCACTGATACAATCTGACTTGTGTATACTTTCTAGGCTATCACAGGACTTGTATATCCAGTTTTGGAATCGTCCACAGCTTTGAGTTAAGTTGCGTAAGGTGCAAACCATTGGCGTCGAATCATATACTTTTTGGTCCTCTTTTCTCAAATATAATAATTACTTTTGTAAATTAACAAGTATTTTATTTATTTATTTAAAAAAAAGAGCAAGTTAAAATTGTTAAACTAGTAATGTTTTTGTCCTGAACTATTTAACATGATATAATATTATCTGTATAATTTTAGTACCACAAATATTTATTTTACTATGTATACGACATATTAGAGCAGCTTATATTAGATATCGATTAAAATTAATTTTGTTTAAATATAACGGTGAATAAATCTGTACAAACAGACGTTCTAAGGCAAAAAAAAAAAATGAATGTGACTATTTCTTCCGATACGAATAATAAGCTGTTGTAAAAACAATAAGAAATCAACAAGTCTAATAGTAGTAAAAATGTATAAAAACAAAGTGAAAGAAAATAATAAAAATAATAAAAAATGAGACGCGACCAAGTATATAAGCACAAAGATGGGAAGCAAGCATGTAAAGAGATAGTGGTCGCTGACCCGTTTGGAACGTTGACTCCATGCAGTAGTCAATCCCCACCTTTTATTCCGCTTCTTCTCCTTGGAAACCTTGCGTTGCTTTACCTTTACCAACAAGTTACCTTACGCTTACCCGCTTACCTAACCACCAGTTTTATTTTTTTCTATCTTCATCATCAATGTGCTCCTGCTATCCATTTTGTAATATTATCTATTTGCATTTTTCATCATCCTTACAGCTTCCTCACTAACCAGGAATATCATCATCATTTCAGCTAAAATAAATAGAATAATTTTATAAATTATCAACTACATACAACGTTTTATCTTTATTACCGGATATCAAATGCTGTGTAATTAGTTATACTTTCTGTATTTTATCATTTAAATTCTAATATATATATATATATATATATATATATATATATATAAAGTCCTTTAAACGGTTTTTAGATTGAAGACATTTAAATTCTAATATATATATATATATATATATATATATATATATATAAAAGTCTTTAAACGGTTTTTAGATTGAAGAAACTCATGGATGGTTTAACCGTTCGGGTCTGTTTGCTATATATTGTCCGTACTCTCAATTTTTATCTATACGTGCTTTGATCATAATAATAATAATAATAATAGTAGTAGTACAGAGTAATAATTCTCTAAGAAACTTTTTATTTGATTAAATTCCTTTAATACACTAATCCTTTCAAGGTAGAGAAAGAAGGTCGGCGACTTGTTGTACATATTTGATTAGACCAACCGGGTTGATGTATTTTCTTATATTTAGTTTTTGACTTGCCCGCCAGAGGGCAATATGCGATCATTTTAATAGAGCGCTGCTGGTTATTACTTATTATAAAGCTGGTGCTCTGTGTATAATAACCTGCATAGTTTATAAGTATAAGTGTATTATTATTGTTTATAATAATAAATAATAAATATAATAATGGCCGTTAAAGAAAAAACAAATGAACCAACAGAGGATTTTGAATGGAACGTTGAGAATGAAATTCAACTTTTTTTCGCAATGAATGGTCACAAACCCGTTGGTAATTATTACTTTTTTATTACACAATTATTTCTATAGGTTATATGTTTACAAACTATCAACTAAATAAATAAAATTATAACAGGTATTCACAAATATTTTCACATGCTTTGCATTTGGGAAAAATTTAGGACAGCCATCAACAAAGATGTGTCTTTAAAAGCTATTTGGGATCATTTAGAAACTATGTATGACCTAGTTGCTCTGGTAAATTTTTTTTTTTTAAATATTTATTTAATTTATTTATAATTTAAGCCGTACTATTAATATATTTAAACTGTTTTTTAATAGGATGACACTGAAGACTTGCCTTATCTGAGCAGTGAAGTAGATTTCACATTACCAGAATCCGATTTTATGGATCTTATAAAAAATAAACAAAAGGATGAGTCTGAAACTAAAAACAAGGATATTAAAGACAAAGGAAAAGATATTAAAAAAGAAAAAGAGCTGAAGGAAACTCCCAAAAGAGAAATTATAGCCAAAGATCAAAAAACACTAGCTAAAGAAGCTGATAAAAAGAAAGAGGACTTGAAAAAAATTGTCAAAGAAGTTGAGCTGAAAAAAGATAAACAACGGGAAGTTAAAGAGGTTAAAAAAGACAATAAATCACTTAAAAATCGTGGAAAAGGAAAAGAAGAAGTTGATGAATCTACTCCAGGTAAGAAATAATTTATTTAATCATTGTTACTGTCATTAATATTTTTTTTTTTTTTTTCATTGTTATTAGTGTCTAGTATTACGATTCAACCAGCCAAGAAAGAAAGAAAGGATTCAGATGCAAGCAGAGAAACGCCTAAGCGAGTACCGAAACGACCAACTAGGCAGAGCATTGATAATGCTAATAAAACGTCTTCGAGTCCTCGTGATACTCCACCACCCAAAAGAAGGAGAACATAAACCTGTTGAGAAAAAAAAAAAAAAGATTTTTTTTTTTTTCTATATCGTTATGCTAATTATCACTATTCTTATTTACATCAATTCGTTCCTTACTTAACTATTAATCGATAAAATTATGTAAATAAATCATTTTATATGTTATAATAAATAGGTTAACATAAAAAAAATATTGTGTTGTGGTAATCAATTAAATTTTATTGGTACATTATCAATTTATAAATACATGACGTTAATGTCAAAAAGAAATTACAAATTCAACTGGTGATGGTCCAATTACATGAAAAAAATCCTGAATAATTATAACTGACAACCATTTTTTATAAACTTTTTTTTTTCTTCGGTATTAAATCAAACATACTCAAGAATCACATGGTGAGATGGATGAAGGTAACCTAAAACAGTCAAATAATACCAATTATATAAACGTCAACTAAATTAACAAAGTAATTAGTAGAATTATTTAAAAAAATAACAGTATATACATTACCTTTAATTCTTGAGTTGAATATATAAAAAGTTTTTATCGCAATCTTCTGGCTTCACGTTCAGACTCGAGTAAGGTTAGGAGGTCTCCTTCTCTTACCGGACCTTTGACGTTGCGGATGATCTGACGATTTGTTTCATCCATAAACTCCACTTTTACTTGGGTACACTGTCCCTGGGATCCAGTTCGTCCCAAAATTTTGATAACACGAGCAGTAACTGATGGCTTGTCCATTTTTTTTTTATTAAATTCACGTGCTTACACAGACGAAAGCGTAAGGCGAAAAGACTCGTCAAAAGGAAGGATCGATGTGACGTATGTAAGATGGCGGTATCCGCATGCGTTAATATTTAGTCTTTACCGCGCTCTGCTGACTTTAATTTAAACTACCATTCAAAAGAACCCGCTAAAATCAATGGTAAAAATAATAGTTACATACATTTACATTAAATAGTATTTTATTTTCAAAAGAAATCACTGTTTACTCTAATACGATTATTGTACAAATGATTTGACCGTAATGGTCCATTATACATATTATACTTAATTATTTTTTTTTAATACTATTTCCATGTCAATTAATCATTAGGCTTTTCCGTTTTATTGATAATTCATTTAAACAGTAGTAGAAAAACAATGCTTAATAAAATAAAAAATAATAAATTATTGTCAAGATACTCCACAATTTATATTTTTGACTTATAATTTAAAAAATGTTGCATCATTAAAATAGCAAAAAAATTGATAACAAATATTTTTTTAACATCATTGTCCAAGACAGTCGCGTTCAATAAGGCGGATTATCTTAACGTATAATTTATGTACGTAATAAAATATTATCGTAATATTTATCTGCTGTGATCGCAAAAAAATATTTACATCATCAAGTATATTATTTATAATGAAATCTTCTTTATAGTACTTTAATTTTTTTTTTTTTTTTTTTCGTCCTAAGAATAATTATTGATCAAATTCACAATATATATTTGTATAGAAATTTTTTTGTCTATGAAAAATTATAGAATTCCTGTCATTCGTTTTTCTTATTGATTTTTTAAAATATTTCACATGACATATTGATTATTATACATGTAATTAATTTATAATTTACAACTTTTTTTTTTAATTTCATTTGTTTCAACACATTTTAGCGAAAAGTAATATTTCTAAACAAAAATTAAAAATTAGCTAAACTTTTTTTGTTTGTTAATATATTTTTCTTAGGCTTAATTTTACATTGGTTCTAAAATTATCAAAATACCGCGTACGAGTATAACCATATATATATTTTTACGTCATTAAACATGAATGTTAAGACATAAACTTGCCGCTAAAATTTTAAAAGTATATTTAAAGTCTGATAAAATGGATCGACTTTTAGTAATACAATTGCATAACATTGAATTAATTAATAATCCAACTCTAAATAAATTAATCGTTACTGCCATAAGTTAGTCGAGAGCGTTTGACCAGGCAGTGTAGCAGGTGCTGGCTTTCCCACCAATCCACCCAAGGACATTTGAGACATCTGCTGAGACAACTGTACAAAAAAAATATTAATTTTATTCACTTGTATGGCTCTGACTATAATCATTAAATTAATAGAGAAAATTAAAATTTCACCTGTGACGAGAAAGTATTATTAGTAGCGGTTTGTGAAGCCAAATTAAAGAATGGGTTACTGCCCGGCGCCGGTTGAATATTTTGTGTTGTTAACATGTTACTCCATCCATTATTACTCATAATATTAGTTGGCGCTATTTGTACCATCTGCGAAGTCATTACAGGCAAGTTATTGTCACCCTGTTAGAATAAAAAAAAAAAAAAAAAAAAAAAAAAAAAAAATAAGTAAATAAATAAATAAATAAATAAATAAATAAATGAGCACATTTAAAAAAAATAATACATACAACTTGTGCTTGCATGAGCATCGCTGGGTTGGGTACACTGGCGATTTGGTTAATCGAAGCCATTTGTAATCCTCCCAATTGATTATTTGCAGCTACAAGGCCCATGGGATTTGTTGATAAATTAATGTGGTGATTGGAGATAGCAATACCGTGCTGAGGAGGTACACTGTTGTGCTGTATCATAGGACCCATAACCAGATTGTTTTGTTGCTGTGGTTGTTGTGGTTGAGATGGTTGACTGATAAAATTAGCTTGCTGACCAAACACTCCTACGCCAGAGAATGATTGAGGAAATTGCTGAGCAAAAAGACCGTAAACCGGTTGCTGTTGCTGTTGCTGTTGTTGTTGTTGCTGGTGCTGTGTTTGATTTCCATAGAGGGCGAGAATACTGTCTTTGGTCATTTTACTTTTTTCCTCTTGACTCGGTGCTGGTTGATTGAAAAAACTTTCCTCATCGGCTTTACTCGCCTCATTATTACTCAAAGTACTTTCTGCTGAATTACTATTGCTATTACTATTATTATTATTATTATTATTATTATTATTATTATTATTAGTATTACTACTACTAGTAGTACCATTAACAACACTTTCAGATGTTAATGATGATGTTGCTGGGGTTGCAGACAAAAATGATGAAAATATATCATCTCCGGAATTATTTGAGTTTGTAGATTGAGCAGACGGACTGTCGAGTCCCAGTAAATCGAGGGTTGCTGTACTGCTGTTTGATTTCGAAGCTGCTTTTGGACTTATTGAACTACCGGGCTTTGGCAATTGTGGCATAACTTCGGGTTTTTTAACTGGCGGCAATGGATTTTGATTTACATTAGTTTTAATACTTTCCTTCTTTCGTCGCCGCTGTTTTTCAGCCTCCTCATCTAGCTCTTTTTCCCAATTAACTTTTGGCATTGTTGGTGGTACCCATTCACGCGCAATATACTTCTTATGTTCATATTTAGCACGAATAAAACTTTCAAGACTGCAATCTGTTTGAGGTCGTCGAAAAGTGTCTGGTAAATTAGCTTCATAGACAGCACGAGCTCGAGAATTTCCCATTTGTTGTAGACTCTGTAAAAACAAATAAAAATTTATTTTCTTATCATCAAAGACAGGAAGGACTTTGTTGTAAATACTTACCACAACTTGTTCCGGAGTCCAAGTATCCAAATTTACAGACTTAACTTTGCTAATGTGAACTCCAAGATTTCGGTGTATACCAGCACATCTTATGCAAAGAAATATTCCAAGATTCCAGCTGGCCCATCTTGGTCCTAAAATATTTCATTTTAAATTAATACTATTGATGACGTTTGCTAAAAATGAATTGCTGTCAATTGTGTGTCAAAAAATAAATTCCTAAATCCTTAACCCATTAAATATTTATGTATATATGTGTTGATAAAACTAGGTCATTGAAAAATCAATAAATACTGATTGAGTGGATAAATATTTAATAATAATAGTTTTAAATAAAAAGAAAATTATAATTATACATATAGATATACTAATGTGTATTTAAGTATATGAGTATACGTATGTTATTTTAATCAATGTCGAGTTTTTGATAGTAGAGTAAGCTGGCTGTTGTATAGTTTATAATAAGTTTACAGACTGAATCACGTTGATTTATAACAAACCTTTAGCATCACAATCTACACAATATTTGTTATCTTCGTCCCGTAGCATTTGAGTTAGAAGATCCTGACATTTATCCTGGATTTGCTTGGTCCGCTCCTTTTCCGATCGAGACGTCATTTTCAAGATGTTTTATATTTACTCCTCACAGAATTGTTTAAACTTGTTTTGGTAATTAAATAAAAAGTATAAAACAATACGGCTGTGAGCAGGCACCACACAGCACAATGTTACGAATGAAAAAATTTCCAGCTAACACTAACAGTAGAGCCAGCCCTTGTGTCTGCTTTTGTGTCCTGTCTGTGATATGTGTGATGATAAAAGACGCTACAACTTCTGCTGCTACCTGCTATAGCGGTTGTACACATCGACAACTAAACCGTATACGTATTTAAATCCAACACACTCAGATCCAAGGAATCCAAGCAATCCAATAGAACATACCAATACCAATACCACAAAACCGTACGTCACTTTGCCACACACACATACATACAAATCAATTGCTCTATCGAATTATCTTGACTTGTATTTTTTTTTTTTAAATTTATTTGTATATAACGGGGTAGGAATTTTATTTACCATCTCAAGTACAAGGTGTCGCTGTCTACCTTGTCTTTTTTTTTTTTTTTTTAAAAACTATTAATTGCAAATATAAATAATTTAAAATAAGTTTTATTGTAAAAACTATTTTACTAATGAAAAGCTTAAGCCTAAAATAGTATATTTTTAAATATTTACATAATAAAATATTATAAATTGTTTACAGGAGTCTTTTGCTCAAATTACTGTACTCAATTCCCATACACAAGAGAACAACTTGTTCCAAATTATTTCCATCTTCATCCTTATGGTAGTCTAGCTTGAATACTACGCTGAAAAAATCTTTTAAATCACGCAGCGTTTGAATTCTGAAAATAAAATAATCATCAATTAAATATTCTCAAATAACAATAACAATTCCGAAATAAAATTTTATTTTAACTTACGCAGATTGAGTTAATGGACCGACGATCATTTTAGACACATCTCTTCTATTGAGCGCCATAAAAATAATAGCCATGCTCTGGAAAACTGAATCCACACATCCGTTCCTACAAAAATTATAATAAAATTAATTATAAATGCATAAAAAATTTGTCAAGAAATTTTTTAACTACCTGTAAAGCTCGTCCAATAATTTCAGAGCGGCTTCTTTTCCAACTTCCTCGGGGTCATTTTTTTCTTTAGATGAACAAGCTTGAGCGCTCAAGATTACCCCGGTTGTAGTCTCTGCGTTAAGAGTTATTGCAAAACCTGGAGAATTTCCAGATTTTTCCTTCCGACAAGGGTCTGCCATAATATTAATATCAGTGTCACGTTTCTGAATGTGTTCCCACAGCTTTTCTTTTACAGATTTCGCCACTATGACGGCTCTATCTCCAGCTACTCGCATACTGCAAGCAACTCCGCGAATCCTCTTCAGACTACCAATTTCGATAAACTATAAGCAGAAATATTATTAATAAAGTCATACTATTTTTCAAACTATCAATAGAATGATTAAAAAAAAAAAAAAAAAAAAAAAAAAAAGATTCTTACATAAACAGGCTTGAGGAAACGAACGACAGGACACTCAAAATGAACCTCGCCACCTCCATTGGGCGCGATTCCCCTTTTGACAATTGTGATTTTGATATTATCACTATCACCAGTGAAAAATTTCTTCAGCACTGGCAGGCCAGCTGCTTTTATTCTGTCAATCGAAGGATCTAAAAATCAGAAATAAAAAATTAAACATGATGCTGAAATTAATAACAAAATTTTTTGCTAATTACCTAAACAAGTTTCGGTGATTCCTTTCAACTTTATCTTGACGGGATTTTTACAAAACGGTGCAAGAATCATAACAGCTTCTAAATAATATCCAATACCTCGTTCAATGTTACATTCATGGACCAAGTCACCTCCTATCAACATACCGGGATCGTAACGAAGGTTTGTTCCAGTTTCATTGAATTTTACTTTCATTCCATTGGATAACTTCTCTAATAATGCTATTAGATTAACTTCGAATGCTAAAAAAATTAAATTGTTTTAGTTTTGATATTTTGTAAATAATAATATTATAATTTATGTAAAAAACTAACCTCTGACGCCTGGATCGTCTTTATTAGCTCTTATATCTGTAATTTTGAGTGACTTTCCGGATAAAGTTGACAATAATAATCGTTGTTTTAAATAATTGCAACCCTTATACTCTATTGGTTGCGACATGGTTAATTTATTTATTTAATTGCTATTATTTTCGGAGTAATATGTAATTTTTACCCACGTGTTTATACTATATAAATACTTATCACAACAATGTGTCAGCAGCAGTTTTGAAAAATTTTCTCCGGTAGATGGCGAAACTGGCCAGATTAAATTCTGAAATTATACATTTGGCGTGAATTTTTATTTTAAATTTCTTCATTGTTAATTGATATATTTAAAGAATTTGTTTAAAACTTTTTCAATAAATATTTATTTTTCATTTCATAAATAATTTTATTAAAATGATAAATTTTCGAGTGTTTTTTTTTTTTTTAAAGAATTTGCAGTAGTACAAACATACTTGGCCGCCAGCCAAGAAAAAGTACCGTCATTTAATAAAATTTCATATTTTTTATTCAATAAATAATTAAAATTAAATATAAATAAATTTGTTTAAAAAAATGATTTAAACTAACTAGGTCCTACAAAAGAGTCATTGCAGTTTCATACGATGGTGGAATACAATAATTAGATGTAAAATCACTTGTAATTGTAGTTTGTAGATACTGAGTCTCGCCAAACTGTGTCGGCCACTGAGGACTTTGACGCGTTGGAAATTTTTCACTACTGTGAAGACATCCAATGTCATTAGTTTTTATTGGATTTATTACTGATGGTCGATATTGACGTTCCGAATCAGGTTGAGAAGAAAAAGGACTATTATTATTATTACGCGGTAAAAACCTTTGTGGACTTGCTCGTGCTAGGTAAGGAGTACTGCTCGATGAGGGGTACTGAACATCTATTTGGTCATCGTAGATTATATTTTGATTATTTCTCAAGGGATATTGAGTTGAATTAACTGGTTGAGCTGGATAGTCAGAGTACGGCAAAGTTTCTTCTAAATTACATCCAGCAGAAGTTATATATGGATCATTTGATAAAGCTCCACATAAATCAGAATTTAGTGAAGGTTGTTGAGCAGAAAGATTTTTTCCAATAAAAATATTATAACTCTTTTTAATCTTTCGATGGCTGTAAAATAAATTTTATAATTAATAAATATTAAAAGTAAATTAAGTTTTTTTCTTTCAAATACTTACAGTCCAGAAATATGAATGAAAATGTAAATTTGATAACTAATATCGATAAGCTTACAATGGTGTAGTTTCGAAGGAGTGATGAATGGTACCCGCATATTTATTGTTACATTACTTTTTTTATCAAATGGTCCTGTTTGTGAGGTACTTTTTATTAAATTTATTTTAAACATTGATTTTTCATAAGGTATCCTCGCATAAAATTTTAATTCCTAAAAAAAAAAAAATGTTTTATTTTTATTATCAATTTGAATGAGAAAAAAAAAAAAAAAACTTTTAAAAGCTTATTACTACTTACCTGTACTAGACTCATTTCAATTTCAGTAACTTGAACGGAATTTGACTTATTGTTAAGATGTACAATCGCTTGAATATTTTCACCTAACGAGTACATTACTTTCGGCAGTTGAATTCGGTAATTTAAGCTGCCGTTACTGATAGAAGGGAAAATACAAGAATAATTCTTGATGTATTTATGATCAATGATGCCCTGTATATAAAATCAAATAATAAGTATATTAATTATTTTATCATAAATTATGAAGAATAGTTACCGATGCGCATTCTTCTGACTGCGTTCCGGATGGAGATACTACAGTAAAAATTTTCGACGTTTTATAATCACTCCAAGGTTTGTTCATTATTGCTTTTATTGAGTATTTTACATAGCCGATACTGTGTTCAAAGCTGTTGGGAATATTTTCGGGGAGAACGTATGAAAATGGATAAACATGATGTCCAGAGGGTAGTTCGATAACATTTACACCTTTTAAATGAATATAAATTTTAATTATTGTCATTAAAATGATGAATAAAAAAAATTTTTAAATAAAATTACCAATTTCTCCAAATAAACAAATATCTTCACGAAAATACAAGTCATGCCCGAAGAAATCTTTGGAGTTAAACTTAAATACTTTAGGAGACCAGCGTACTAAGCATTCTCCTTTAAATCTTACTTTGAGAGCTGTAAATTGATAAAATTTGTAAAAATTAATTGCAAGTTTCATTTTATTTAAAAAATAATGATTTTTATCAATTTCAATGAAATTTTTTTATTTCTAACAACAAAAAAAATTACCTTTTAACTTTTGCGATTTGGCAAGATCGATTATTATTTGACCAGATATTATTCCACCTGATTTATACGTCGCTGTTGGATTATCTAGTTTTATTTTGAACATATTCAATGACAGCGAGGTCATATTTGTTTTTGAAAGGTATCTTAAAACTATAATAAAACTAGTTTTTTTTTCTTTATTTACACAGATTTGTTTTTGAGGGTTAAAAACACGTGCCTTCTAAAAATGTACTTTTACCGGTTTTCAAATAGTAGTGGTGGGGAAATCTATCTTTTACCTGCAAAGGAAAGCAAGAGCCATTTCTTAAAAAGGACCCCTGTACTTACGTACAGTTTGTTAATATTTTACTATTTACGATATACTCTATCTATACACATTCTGTAATCTATTTTTTTTTTTTTTATATCAAACTTAAAATTAAAAATAAGGTATTATAAATTCAAAATAATTTTGTTTTTATTGTTTTTATAAATATCTGTATTTTCAACAAGTTATTACATAACATTTATATATAAAAATGTATAGTACAGTTATAAAAGTAAAAATTATCAAATGCAATATTTGTCTTTATTTTTAATCTTTAGCATTTCAATTTGAGGTAGATAATAAGTTAATTTTTATTATAATATTCGTTTGCATTGCGTAGTTATTAGACTATTTAATATTGTTATCAAAATTAATCTTACTCAAATATAATTTCTCTGCGGGTATAATTATTTTTATAAATGTTATTAAAGTTTTTTATTGACAAGATTAAATAACTTTCTTCTTTTATTTTTTATTATAAAATAGCTGCTATAAATATAATTAACGCTTAGTTAGTAATAAGAATACGTATTGAAAAAAGAATTATATTCCAATAAATAAAATTATTTTTTTGTTCTCGTAAAGTAAAAAATTTACTCTTTACGAACTTAAAATTAATCTTTCATGCATAAAAATTCATATCGTAATTTTGATTTAATTTTTGTGGCATAAACATGAAAGCTTTTTTTTATATATATATATATATATATTTCTTTTGATTTTGTTCAGTAAGATACTTGTAAAAAATATTTTCAAGATTTACTCGCTTTTCTTAAATTATCAATAGCCATTACTGTTTCATACGACGGAGGAGCTGTAAAAATAAATTATAAAAATCAATTATTTATATTGCACGATTTTTTAATTTTAAAATATAAATACTTACGATCTTCAGAATTAAGTTCAGCAGAATAATCAAATCCGATCTCTCTGGCCAATTGAATACCTACAGTAGTTAACTCAGTTGGTAGAGTGGAATAAGGTGATTCTAAAGGAGCGGTCGCACAGTTGCTATTTAAAATTTCTCTCGTAGAAACTGGTGTATCTGGTAAATCTTTCGTCCCAATAACTATTTCATATGTCTTTTGAATTGCTCTGTGACTTTAAATTTTTTTTAAAGGAAAAAAATATGTATTTTAGTAATGTTTTAACTCATAAGTTTACTGATATTAAATATTACTTACCATCCAGACACAGTAATGATGGCATGAAGCAGGTATTTTATATCAATATAATTGCAAAATTGGCAGTGTGATAAAGGTAACTTTTGAACATCCATTTCTAACAACGAGGCACTTATTTTTTGGAATGGTCCTCGTTTGGTGACTCGTTGTATAATATTTGTTTGAGTTTTAATATTGTTTAACGGTTCTCGATTCGTGAATTTAAGTTTCTATTCATTTTATTTAAAGTTATCATTATTCTTATTATAATTGAATTAAAAATAATCAACTAACCTGAATTAAAAGTAACGATATTGATGTTATATTAACAGATGATAATTTATTGTCGATATTTATCATAAATGAGATACGTTCACCACAAGCAAAGCCAGTAGCAGGTAATCGAATACGATATCTCATATGTCCTTTATTAAAGCAAGGTATCCAGCATGAGAAATTTTCCAAATCAGTTTCGTCGATTCCTAACTAGGAACAAAAATTGAAAAATAAAATCTAGACAAAAGTTATTTGTTTAAAAATGATATTACATACCAAATAAGTCTCGGTTATTGGTAATAATCGTTCAACTCGGAATGATTTTTCAACTTCATGATTGAATTTCCAAGGTCTTTCCATTATTGCAATAAGATTGTACTTTATTTCAGCACAATCATGCTTAAAGGTGCTTGGAATATTGTAAGGTAAAGTAAAGTCAAAGGGAAATACATTGTGCCCTTCGTTGATTTTAACTCTGTCGTTATCTGTGATAAATTTAATTAATATAAAATTAATATCAAACAAGTGAAATATTTTTTAATAAAAATTTATTTATTGACAGTACTTTCCGATCTCCGAAGGATAATGTAACTTTCAATATATTTTTCTTTGGCTGCGAATGAATTATCCTGATTATTAACTTCCGTCCATGCAATATCACATTCTCCTTTAACTAGCAATTTAAGGGCTGTAAAATAAATTTCAATCAAAGTAATTTTTATTTATAATTAGTCCTTACAGCACTTTCACTATAAAACTCAGATTATAAAAAAAAATTCTCACGACATTGCGCATGTGCGAAATTGCTTGAATTAAAATGTAAATAAAATTTGTTTTTATTAAAATAATCTAGCGAGTTATATGAATTAGCGTTGTAATTGAACAAACTTTGCCTACGCGACGCACACATTCTTTAAATTAATTTTTTTTATTGTTTCAACACAGTATTTCACATTAATTAAAGTTACGTTACCGTTATTGTTTAATTAGTGTAAATTTTACAGTGAGGAGATGACAGTCCTAGTAAAGATACAGATTGTACGGAGATACCCGAGTTTATACCGAACAGATCCGAATCTCTAAAATTTCACTTATCATTTTACTCCAATGGATAAATTTTTACGGAGCTAAAATAAATATTTATAAAACAATTTTTTTTATGATTAAATTTTGAGAAAATAAAAAAATAATCACGTAGCCATTTTATCGAAAATTTTGAAGCTGACAGAGTAGAATGTCAGAAAAAATTTTAGAGCGAGAATACTTCAAGGATTTAAATAAAATAATTAGATATTTATAATAAATTTTAGTTATTAATTGAATAAAATCAATAATAATATTATTTTTATAAACTTATTTAAAGTTTATGATAATAAATTGAAAGTAATTAATATTTTACATTCTAAAAGGATTAAATAATTAGAATTAGATATTTTTTTATAAATATCTAGTTTTTTAATTTAATAATAAATAGTGCAATAAATAATTACTAAAATTCTTAAATTGATTAATTGATATAAAATTAAATTATTATAGAGAATAATTATTAAATACAGAAACTTTCAAGTCCCGCCGCTAAGTTTGAATTAAGTTATAGTTGTGTTATCGAATTCTAACCTTACACCACAAACACTGGAGAAACAAATAAATATATCCATTTTTATCCTTTGATTATAAACTATTAAAATTTTCACTCAACTCAATAAATTATTAATTTAATATAATAATAATAATAATGAAGATTATAAAATAAATGAATACCTTTAACTATTTTTTCTTTATACAAATCAATAATAACTTCTCCAGTAATTTTTTCTCCAGGATGGTAATTACCAGTTAATTTATCTAATCTTATCCTAAATGAATTTATTCCGCTGCTCATTTTGGAACCATTAATATATAAATAACAACTTTTTAAATTCTTTCAAACAACTTTAACACTAAAAAAGTCATGCACTAATAAAAAAGATAAAAAAAAAAAAAAATAAAAATAAGTATTTAACTATGTTGAATGAAGTTTTACTATAGGAATAACATATAAGTAATGCTGTATACTAAGTTCTATAGGCCTGGAAGTCATCAAACATTTTTATGATAAATCATACAGAAAAAAGTGGGGCATTGTAACTTGCGTAGTTTAAGATAGTAAACATTCTGTCTACGCAGACATAATTAGAGAGATAAACCTTGGCTTATATATAATTTATATATATATATATATATACAGATATAGTAATATTCGATATAAAAATATAGAAAACAAAGTAAATGTTGGTGTTGAGAATAATCGAACAATTATACTTTATTTTACATCAAGTAACTAACCATTGTTCATGGTTAAGTTCTAATTTTATACCTTATTAATTAGACAAAGAATTTTATCAATTAAATCAAATAAAATTTTACTGAAAGAAAAAAAAAATAATTTAATTTTTGTTTAATATTATGAATTTTTAAATTCAGAAATCAAAATTTTAAACGAAAAAGTTATTTTAAATAAGATGCTATCATCAATTTAAGGAATTATAAATATCGGAAGAAATTTATTTCATTGAGTGACGCTCTAAGATCTTTTTGACGGGTCAATGGGACAGCTCGATTTGAGCCAACGTCACATTCTTCGAATTTAAAAGAAAAAAATTTTTTTTACAAGTGCAATTATATAAAATTGCAAAAAAAAAAAAAAAACAAGCCAGAGATTAGCAATCGATTAACATAAAGAATTGATTACTTGAATGATTTGACAAATGTAGCATTTTTTCTCCTTTTCTTATCTAGATCTTATCTTTTCCTGACAGTCCTGGTGGCACCAAATTAAGTCTGCCTAATAGAGGAAGGTATAAGTAATAATAAATTATTTAATATTGCGCTTTGTTGAAAAGTCAAAAATAAATAAATAAATAGACAGTCATTTACACTAACTCTTCTCTAATTAAGTAGGCTTCCTTTTGCTCGACAGAAGTGAATCGATACGAAGGTATATCGTTAGGACAGCTGTATAAAATTAATAATGCTCATGCGCAAGTTAAATAAATGTAGTTCTCTAAAATGCGAAAAAAATGATATATTATTAAATAATTCAATCTCCATGTTAACCTTTCCATTTTCCTCTACAGTTGATCGAGTTTGATGGCTATTGATAGTGAAAATATTTGCATTTTTTAATATAGGAATCACCCCGAAAACTCTATAACGAAAACCAAACTCTCTTTATTAATTTAAAAACTAAAAATTTTGACTTTACTCTATTTAAAAAAAAAAAAAAAAATATTAGCATTGGTTAACTATTTTTTAATACAAATATTTAACCTAACAAAGGATTATTCTCATTAGGTATTTTAATATTCAAGATAATGTCGACTCATTATTTAATCATGGCGCGTAATCCAATTATTATTTGATGTTATGTCGTCGCATTTACATACTATACAATATATTCATATATTTGCATATAATACATAACTTTCATCTGTTTAGTTAATATTCCGACTTTTTAAATCCCTATTAATTGTCATTCCATTATTGGATTAATTTAAAAAAGCACAATTTAATTTTAAATTGCATCCCTGAATAAAAAACTGATTTGATATTCAGTTTTTATAAAAGTGTCCCTTTGTAATATTGATGCTTTGAATCTCGATCAAATTTGATTTATAAATGTATATTAGTTAAAGTTTAGAAACGCTAAATTTACTAGAGAACATTAAAGTAAGTGTCCATTTACTTTACTCACAAAACTTTGCAATCTTGCGTTGACAGAACATTAATTTTGTAAATGTATACATGTTTACATGCGAAGTAGTGGGGCTTAATAAATAATACATTTGAGGCTCTTCAGTTGGTCGCTTACGTTATTTATCTCCACTCAAAACTCCTGTTGGACAGTAGAGTTAAAATTGTTTTAAATTTTTTATACATTATTTAAAAATCCATCATAAATTTTATCAATTTTTGTTGTAATAAAAATCAATGTAAGAATAATTGATATTGATTTATTAGTAAATTTTGTCAAATAGAAATAATTTTTTAATTTAACTGATTCAAAGAATAAATTACCACATTTAGTGGTTGATTTCACCCTATTTTCCCTTGTATACAGTACGTAAAATGATCGAGGCTGGCGTTGGGGAAGTTAAGGTTCCGAGTGGAAGCTGGATGAGGGTGTAGGGTAGTTTCGAACCCTCAGTAGCGTGCCGGTTGTCGAGAAAGTATCACCTCGTGCTTTTTTACTCTCGACTTTTGCTGTGTTTTTATTTATTATAAACAATAGTTGTATTAATAATATACCTCACGATAGTTATCATTCAATTGATATACTCTATACATTTATCAGATTGTCGATTATTGTTTAAAAACGTTTGATAGTTCTCAATAAGTCATCTTGTCAAATCAACAGGTTATCAATAAATTCTATCTATTTAGTTGTTGATTTATACAGCATGTATTTTTTTTTTTTTTTTAATTACTAATTACGATAGAATGCTAAATTATAAACATTGAATAATTTCCGATAATTGATAAGTGTTTACTTTGATGAGGTTTTCAGTGTTTATATATTGTATGCTACAATTTCAATTATTTCATTCTACAATGCATCATGTGCAGCGGACATGTGATGTTAATTATTTTAATTAACTCTCTGTTTCATGAAAATTTTTCGCTGATAGATAGATAACTTTTTTAAATTATTTTTATTAAAATTTCAAACTTTTTATAAACATTTTTATCAAATTCCCGAAACTATTTAATTAAATATGATTCTACTGTTTTTAAATCAAGAAAAGTATGCTCGTAGTTATAATAATAATAATAATAATAATAATAATTACACAAACCGCTAAAATTTTTAATCCAACTAACTTTTTTTATTATAAATACTGATGAAATAATGCTAAAATAAAAGTCAAGTTAATTTTTAATGTATTACGATATTAAACAAATGTTATATTTTCCTCCAACGGAGTAATCTTATTTACTAAAATTTATCCTCACGTACAAGAATATGTTGGTGTAGAGAAAAAAAAAAAAAATAAATCATACATGTCTGAACATCTGTGATAGCTTGGATAAATATGTATCACATAAATAATATTTTGAAAGATGATACTCTCGCCCACAGGGCTAATATCAATATCATCTAAATATGTAATTACAAGATTAATTATACTACTCTCTTCTTTGTGATACATTTTAGTTTTAAAAATGACTTGAATAGAATATAATTTATTATTATTTAACGAGTGAAAGTAAATTAAATAGAAGGATGATGAAGTAGTCAACTTGCGAAAGCGATAATATAAATTTATATTAGATTCGTCTGATATAAAGACATTAATTAAGCCAGTGTTATGTGTTTAAGATACTTACGGATTGGCGCGAAATAAACCGATTAAGTATAAAAGTGTAACAGAAATACTATCGATTAAATTAAAGTAGGAAGTAAAGTATTGAAGATATTGTAAATATTGAAAATGGCAATGAACAGTCCGGGTCCATTTACCAATTTAAAGTCTCCAAGGAGTCCTCGGCAGCTTCCTCAATTACCCCCATCAATTTTATCGAGTTCTGGGCAACGAAGTCCTAGCCAGCAGCTCCAAAACTTGGGCTGCAAATCACCGAGCACGCCGCGGGTATTTGAATTCCCACCCGAGTACTATCCCGAGACTCCAAATGCCAATTTCGATTTTGAAGATTTTGGAAAAATGTCGAGCTCTCGCAGCAGTCTTTTACCAGAGAGCGATTCTTGCAGCATCGTCAACAGAAGTTCCAGTTTCTACAGTCAAAACTCATCGGGGATGAAAAGCCCGCGAGCTTCCGAGTCAAGCAAGTCCCCGGTATTTTCGTTCTGCAACCCAAAGAAGAATTTCGGAAAAACACTGAGCTATCCACCGAAAAGTCCAGCCTCTCCGAGTTCGCTGGGTCCAATTATAAGGAGCAGATCACCCTCCTGTGGGTCATCTCAAAGTTTCACCCAAAAAAGTCCAAACTCTGCAAATTACAGTCGTCGAAATTCGTGCTTGAACCTTCGGCCTCTAAACTCACCGAAAACTATCGTTACCTCATCCTCACGCAGCCCGAGTCCCCGAGCTGCCGATGCTGACGAGTTTGAAGAATGTTCGACCACCAAAGACCTAGGTGATAAGTTTTACAAAGGAGCAGAAAGTAAGACGGTAAAAAGACAGGATCGAGATAGTCCTCAGAATGCAAGAAAAAGATTGGGTAGCGTCCAGCTTAACAAGAGTTATGGTTGTCTGAATGAGGTCACGGAGAAAATCTCAATGAGGTCTAGTGGAAAAAATATTTCACGTCGCTCCACAAGTGATCTTACTGACGCGGCTGCAGTTGATGAAAACGAAACTGAAATCACTATCCTGTCCAGCCCCAGGCGGAAAGGATCGATGAAAGGAGGTTTAGGTAAAATATCTTTACAAATAACTTTCCATTACCTGATAAATTACTCCAATCCTTTCCTTTACCTATTCCCACAAATCACTAAATTATAACTATTAATTACGTTTTTTATATTTTTAGAATATTCATTAATTTATGACATTTTATTTTTCTTTTCAACAGTAGCATTTGCTATTGATTTTTCCCCGGTAATAAAAAAAAAAAAAAAAAAAAAATAGTTACGAATGAAGTTATAAAAAGGGACATAAATGTCCATCCTATAATTCATTGTTGGACTATTTTGTATTTACTCTTTTTAGTTTCTTGAATTCATAAAAAAGTTGAGATAGTTGCTTGAAATAGGAATCGCTGTTCATAAAAGCTGAAAAAATTTATTCCAAACATTTTTATTTTCATTTTAATGCAACGTTCTCAATAGATAACTCACAATAATTGAAAATAAAATTATATAATTATTATTACATTATAAGTGACATTGTAACTATCGATAAAAAACAATTAATTTGTGTTCAAGACTCTGTTGTGTTGATTGCTCGATATATATATATATATATGGACAAATGGGATGATATATATATATCTATATCTTTCTCAAATTACACAGTTAATGTACTGTCATAAAAGAGTCTAATTGATGTGAGTTGATGTCATAATCCCATGTACTTCACAATGCTTTCAAATTATCTTTCTTTTATTGTTCGTTTAACTGAAAGGCTGCCGACGGTCAGGATTTAAATTATCGGAATAAAAAAAAAAAAGAAAAAAAGAAAAACTGAAATCCGATAATGGTTTATACAGTTGTTAACTCTTGAATCGATTTATTTCATTTGACTCAACGCAACTTTTGTTCTTGTATCACTTTTCGAATTCGTGCCGTTAAATTTTAGAGACAATAAAATAAAATTTAAATAAAAAGTTTATCACAGCAAATACCGTGGCTGTATTGGTTAATTAATGTTATTGACTTAGGTGACTCACCCGAGTATTGAAAGTCCCTTTGATTTTAGAATTCCAAACATGGATTGATTTAACATAAGCTATGTAACTAAGCTATAACTACTGGTGTAACTATATCTATCTGTATTATTTGTATACGTTTCAGCTTATTTGGCATCCAGGCGAGGCTCTCGTGATAGCCAGATTTCGAATATCTCTAATATCAGCAATGAGGATATTGGACCATTAAATTTCAGCGCTCATCCGCGAGGCCGTCAGAGAAGAACTTCTAATTTTCTTGAATTGCCAGGTAAATTTATTGTTTTAAAATTATAAAAAAAAATTGACAGTTGTTGATAACTCAGCAATATAAAATTTAAAAATATTGGCATAGATGAATAATTTATGGACGATATTGAACAACGAAGAATTTCAATTCATCAGCAACTCTCAATGTATGAATTTATTGTTCGAATTCCAACCAGAGCAATCGCGTGAAACGATGCGAACAATTTCAAAGTTCAATTTTTATTGCCACATTTGTAAATAATTCAAGTTGAAGATATTAAAAAAAAACATTTAATGTTATTAATTTATATAATTAAAAGTTTAAAATGAAATTTATGCAGTTAAATTGTCAACATAATTAAGTTGTTTTCATTTGGGAATTTCTCCTGGTACGGCCCGTGATATTTATTAACATTGTTTCGTAAGATATATATTATACATTGCACTGCTTCTATGAATAAATTGTTATTCATTTCGTCTAATTGTATTAGATTATATATAACCTAGTTTATGTAATTAACACAAGGAAATTCTGTTGCTCAAAATTTATATGAGCAGTAAACAAATATTATTAAACTAAATTTATCAATGATTAAATCATTAAGCATAACAGACATAATGAGCAGCGGTATTTGGTTAATCGACAATTAATTCCTAGAATATTTTGTAAGTTATAACAATATCGTGAATAATTTCAAATTCCAGGTATCTGATGTTCGATTTCTGCGGTTTCAAACCTGTAATACCGAAATTACCGGAGGAATATTAAATTACGTTCAGTATTTAATTTATCACACTAAAATTAAAATTGTTGACCGTATTACATTACTTAATTATCGTTGTTATCATTTTCAGCATTATTATTTTTATTCGTTGACCTCTACATAGTTGAACAATTAATTTGATAGCAAAACTTTACTTTTTAATTGAACAGTTTGTCACTAATAATATTAGTATATTGATTTTATGATTAAATTAAAAGTTTTAAGTATATATTAACTCGCTCTTATATATTTTATTAACAGTATATAAAAATAAAATATATCCTTTGGGTAGTTTTTTTCTTGATAGAGCTTAGGGACTTTGATCCATTGTAAATTCGTTGGTTTCAAAGAATATATGTGGGTCTATAACAAATATGGTTTCAAAAAGGCAGAATTCTTTTAAGTATATATATATATATATATACGTTGAACAAAAGACTATGAACATGAATGAATATTATATGTATTCTTTTTCATTTTTATTTTATTTTCTATTCTTAAAGCACGAATATTATCTTACATAAAGTATAAATAGAGCTTTAATAAAAATTTTGTATATTTTTTATTATACACTTTTTGTTCCTTTACAAAAAATTGAATATTTAAAACTTGATGAAATAAATAAAAATTCTTTATCCGCTCAATTGCCGATCAACCATCATTGAGCTTCTTCAATAATTAAAAAAAAAATTTTATTTAATCTCTTTACTTTTAACCCCAATAAAACTTTTTTTTAACGTTTTTTTTTTTTTTTTTTTTTTTAAATTGAATCTTATCGAGAAATTTGAGATTTCCTCATTTATCTTCTCCTCGGTGTATAATAATTTTTTTTTTATATTAGATATTGATTTTTTCTCCGTCAATTGAAGATTCATGTTTATTATTATGAATAATAAGTAATCAGAGGTAAAAAGTTAAATTATAAAATTATTATTGTTAACATTTATTAAAATAAAAATGATGGTAGTATATATTATGATTGATAATCAATTTCTGGAATATATCTGGGGATTTCAATTGGAGGTCTGACAACGTCGGACTCTAGGGCATTTAAGAAGACCTATTATCTTCGCTCATCAGTATTCACAGCGTTAAAATCGCTTCTGGCAGCAGTTGGTTTAACGGTGAACGGTTAACGTCGGCTCTTGGATGAATCCCGTCACCAACTCTCTCTATATATTATATATAAAATATATATATTCAATTGTGCGTGAGGGATAGAAATCACAAGTAAAGCTTGCGACCTAAAAAGAAATAAGAGAACAATAATAATAATAATAATAAAAATAAGATTTTCATAAGATCAATATTTCGACGGTATTTAACGGTATGCGACCAGAATTCCCAATGCTTCGCGTTGTTAAATTTATAATACTTTTTTTGAATTATTAATTTTTTTTAAATAAAAATATATGTTTAAAAACAAATTGCTACCATCAGTTTATTCTTAATCCACTTTTATTTTTCAGATTTTTTTTTTACTATGAATTTTTTAATAATCCCGATTTATTATTTATAGTAAAAGCGCTGCCGAGTTTTTTTTCATTATTAAACTTTTAAATTATTCAGCTAATAGCGACGCATTTATTAAAGTACTAAAGATCAATCAATAATCTGAATTAGCATATACTTAATTTGTCCAGTAAAGCAAATAAAAAAAGTGAAATAATTATCTAATATAGATTGATTAAGTGACGAATTTCTCTAGGCGATTTAGTGCTGACCGAAGCTGACCTAAAACTACTGCCGTAAAGTTTACCGCAACTTCTTGGGTAAGAAACTTTGTCTCCCAAATGTTTCAAAGTCAATTAGTTATTATTATTACTATATAAGCGAATAATAATAGTAAAAGATGCTGAGAGTAAGAAATACAAACTTACGGTCAAGAAAGTTTTAATTTACAATTCTCACTCAATTTTTTGGATAATTTATGGGTATACTTAAAAAGTATTTGTGTGTTTTATTTAAAAATAAAATTCAGTAATTTATTTATGGTTTTAGTTCCGGATCACATTCGACCTCGTGTCCACAGTTTACCGGAAAAACCATATAACCCACGAGCTGGTGATGATTTGTACAGACTTCGAGCGTTCAGTATTACACATAAAGGTGTTGTCAATCGTGGGGATTCCATTATCTCACGGCGTAGCAGAAGCAACACGTCGGTCAATAGCAGCAGGTAAGTAATTTCGCAACAACTCAAATCCCTTTTACTAGATAACCACCGGAGATACCTCAAAGTCCCTAAAATCTCGGTCTCAGTCTCTTGATCCATCAGCCGTGAGGTATTTGATATTTCACTTTTATTTTATTTTTTTTTTTTTTCCACATATGATCTAGGTCAAACATCAAACTTTACTTTGATATATAATAATCATCAAACCTTCGCTTTCGTCAGAGCAAATATTGTCTCCTTGAGTTTCAATCTACTTTCAAACTGATATATACTTTGCAAAGTAGTAAGAGCATATTGAAATTTTTATAAATATTTAAATTGCCATTATCCTAAATTACATTTATAAAATACCATCTGTTGACAAAATATTTGCGTTTCAATTAAATTTTTATTAATAAACTCTTGGCAGTAATTATACTGTAGATAGAAATTAAAAAAATAGTTTATTTATTAACAACTGACATTGATTGTCGGGTATTGAGTCTGGAGGAATAAGTGATCGAAGCAAGTAGAAAACTCAAGATCATTCCAAACATTTGAATTGTCAATAGTATTCTCTATATTTGTGTGCGTTCTTGTCAAAGTTAGGAGATTGAGAAAAACTAGAGGGAACAAAAAACAAAATTTCCCTTATACACATCTTTACACTATACAATATTGAATCATGCGTGTGTGACAGCCATAAAATAATCATGTCAACTGATCCCTTGAGGCAACTGATACAGGGTTAGAATTATGTGCTATTTTTCTCAGAGCAGCTTTTATTTTTCTTTCTTTTACTTACTCTTTATTGTCATTATCAATTAACGTATTAGGAAATAAGTTTTATTATTCACATAATATTTTATATCAAAGTTTATTTTATATATATATATATATATATATATATATATATATATATTTTTTTTTTTATTGGGGATTTATGTCCCAGCTCTAGGGAATATGAATTTTATATCTTCTAAATTATATAAAATATTCATGATTTTGCTTGATTACATATTACAATTTGTTTAGCGAATAATTTTAAAATGTAAATTCGGGCTTTTGAAATTTAAATTCTGTTGACAAAATTTACACTCTCAATTTTTCTTCCAAGTTTAACTTAATTAATTTTTTGACGCTAAAATATATTTTATAATGTTGATTTACATTTTTTTTATAATATTTAACAATGATAACAACTACTTTAAATAAAGTATTAAAAAAATTTTAAAACTGATGGAGATTTAGTTATAAATACAACCTGCTCCATTACTTAAATGTAATTTGTTAATTTTCTCCGGCATGCTTGAGATTAAAAAATAATCTCAATCTCCAGAGTACGCTTTTCTTGATTCTTAATAAATTGAAACAGTAAATAAAAACAGCACATTCCATTTCAGTATTTTTTAGGAGTAAAAATGCAAAATAATTTATCGTAAAAAATATTTGCCAACCAGATAGAATATAATGGATAAAAAAAATAAGCTTTTGTTTGTTACATTTTTCAAAAGACTTTTCCCATCTTGAGTCCCTTTGCGGTGAGAGGGTATAGAAAAGATAAAGATAAATGATCACCTAGTAAAATATAAATGCCACCCCAAACCAAATGAATATTTATAAATAATAAAGTACAAGCCTTGTTTATTTATTTAATACCCGGATCATCATCAACTATTCATTCTATTGTTTCCTGGAATAAATAATCCAGAGATCATTTCTCTAATTACTATCGATGATAATAATAATGGTTATCCTACTCTATTTATATCTTTATAAAAGAATAAAGTTATCGATTATAGTAAAAGGATTTTGTCTATCGGTTAAATAAATATTTATTACACACAAAACTTATAAAATATCACATTATGTGCAGCAAAAATCGACAACCAATGTATATGTGTATAAATTAAATTCGGGACATTGTTTATTGAGTTGACCTTTCTAACCTAATCTCAAAAAGTTTTTGTCATTTCTCCAGAGTTTTCGAGATTGAAAAAAGTTTCTCCGATTTGGTGATAATAAACGCCGCCGGATAATAAAATTAAAATAAGTTCAATCTAGTAGTCAGAGTTTGAGCGATTGAGCTGATAAATAATTTTTTCGCTTCCACTCCCAGAACTTTTGGATAATACCTACAAGTTTAAGTTAAGGTTTATTCTATTGTGTGTTTCGATTGACTAACTTCCACAGTCAGTTTATATAAAGTGTATACTTCTGATAGTTTTAATTAATCAAAAAAATTCAGATATTTCGTTTTATCATAAGATTATTTATTGTCAGTAATAATTATTACTATTTTGGATATTTTATTTTGTTCCCTAGTGCCTATAAATAGAGTAGTTATTGTTGGAAAATACAATTGATGTAGTATATTTTTCTTTCTCTATCAACGATACTATATCACAAATGATATGGTTGAGTAATAACCTAATAACCAATTCTGTTTCCATGATGGTAGGGTTGTCACAATAAAACTTATTCTTGATTATTAACCCAAAAAAGAGGAATTTATGTTGGATTTTACACAATAAAATATTGTCAAGGCATCAAATAAACAATTGAGCAATATATATTTCTATTCATTTAATTTAACAGTAATTGTATAAAAAATTGTCCATAAATTAATTTTAATTTAAGTTAAACAATAATTAAAGATAATGACACTTTACAAAATGATTTAATTAAATTTATATGAGACCCAATTAAAACGACAAGTACACGAAGAAAAATTTATAGTAAAGAATCTCGATGAGTAAGTATTTGTTATTTGGCGAAGTTTTAAACTTTTGGAGGAATGCCAAATATTTATAGTATTACTCATGGCTTCAATATTGTTTTTGTACAATTTTTTTCTTTTTCTTCATTCTTTTCTTCGATTTTCTTTAAAATCCACACACACACACATACAGATATATATATATAAATTTATCAATACATGCCCGAGGCGCAGAGCCGAAGATGCCAGTGTCAGTTATTTTGGTAATCCTACGAACAGATGATTGACCGTGAGTCGGTGATCTTGCGTTTTTTTCTTATTGAATTTATTTCCTTTGTAGTCTATAAATAAGTGAGACTAGTTTTAACGAAATATCGATGTGATATAAGCTTTTCATTGATATCTAATATCCTTGCGGGGATTAAAAGTAAATTTTTATCAAATCACTTAATTTGATGATCAAACAAAAAAACAAGACAGGATATTAAAGGATAATCAACTTTTGATGCAATAAGTATCAGAGTTTTTTCCGAGATAACTATTGAATTTCCGAGGGATCAACTCAAGTGGAAGGTGAAACACTAAAAAAACTCTTTAAAGATATTACCGGTGGATTTTTTTTTTCACAATTACCAATAAACGTGTATTTGCTCTAGAAATCGTTCAATAAAGTACCAATTTTAGTCGTTTTCAGTTGCGGATGTGTTGGTGTGTGCGATATATAGAAAGCTTTGATTACTCCGGGAAAGCGAAATTCTGTAGTATAATGGTGCTTTTCGAGTTGTTGTATTTCTTTCAATAGAATATTTGTACAGAGGAAAATTAAAAAAAAAAAAAAAAAACCAATGAAAGGATTTCGAATTTTCCGCAAGCATCAGATGTAATTGCGCTCTTGATTATTCAGATTTTGTAAAATGTAAAATTATTATTATTATTAATGTTATGAATTTGTATTATGCATCTTCAATGTACTCAATTTCTTCTTCAACTTCAACGGATCTGTGAGATTTCATAGATGAAGTCGTAACAGATTTAACGCTGGTAGATGACTCGATAACTTTTTTAGTTTGAACGCTCTGCACAGACTTTGAGGATGATACTGATGACATCGCTGAGCTGATGTTCATGTTAGAAGACTGTTCCAATAAGCTGGTCGCGGTGTCATTTACTGAAAATACAAATAATGTAAATTAAATTGCTGGTGAGATGTACAAATCTTTTGTAATAATAAATATTCTTAGACCTCATCCACAAACAAAATTATGTGTCGACTGTTGGATTGATTTGAAACAAAAAGAATAAATTATTATTGAGTTCACTGATGGTGAAATTTATTTTAATTCAAGGAAGCTTTTCACAAGTACAAAATAGTTGCATTAAAAGAGTTGAATTGGTTTAATACACTATGTTTTCTTTATTTTCTACAATATTTTATCCTTCCGAAAGGTTTTCTGGCGCCATTACTGACTCCCGGGGATTGTGCACGGAAATACTAAGTGGTATCTTTCATAATATCTATTCACTTTGCTCTTAACGATATAATTTATATAAAGTTAATTTTTTTCTTTGAAAAAATTACACCAATTAAATTTTTTTTTTTTTTTCAATTAAAGTGAAATCTTTCATAGAAGTAATGGAAAAAAATTTATTATTGAAATAAAATCAAAAAAATATCCAACAGCACACTTTAATTTATTGTAATAAAAATTCGTAGTTTTTGGATTGTTAATTCTAACAATTTATAATTTCACTCACAACAATGTTGAATAAATAATTATAAAATAATAACTTACCGTTGGCAACTTCCATTTTTACTCTGCGTGTAAATAAAAAGCTCACACAAGGATGAACTGACAGTGAAGAGATTGAGCTTAAGAGTGAAGAGTGGAATTACCGAGAGTGGTTGAGTTATTCTAATCTGAACGAACGGAGATGAGTACAAAAGCTGGGGGAAATGAGAGTCACGTGTTTAGAGTACAAGAGGGGCTGTCTGATGACTCCTTTTATATTTTTCGCGGCCAAAAGATATTCGTGGAATTCAAACATTCCTCGCGATATATAACACATATAATAACTCTTCAATGTTAAGCTTCCTCTTTCTTTATTATTACACCCACCTATTTTATTGCTTTTTGAATTAAATAACAATTACATTTTCAATTTTAATTAATCATTAAAGTATTAAAAATATAATTGTTTATTATTTATTTGAAGACATAAATGTTGACATTGACTAAGAAAACATTTAAATTCAACTCATAGTAAAATAGAGTGACATGAAAAGTTTTTGCTCTTTTATACAACGAGTTAAAAGGAAAGTTTGCGGTGTATATAAAGAGATATAAATCTTTTATGACTGAAATAGATAATGTATTCAATGTTATACCACTCAAATTCTTTTATGAATATTTTATAGCATTTTTAACGGAAAAATGTGGTTGTACTTTTTTTTTTTTTAACCGTTTTTGAATTTAACAAATTAATTAACAATCGTTGTTTTCAATAGTTGAAAATAAATAAAATTTTTTTTATGGAAAAAAAAGTTTGGGTAAAATTTTAAATACTCGAGAGGTGGCTTTGGAAGTTTCGAAACGTTCCATTCGGTATTCATTTGATCTAAAACGTGACCTAGTTACAATACGAGACCGATGAAATGTATTTTTTTCCCTCAAGCACAAAAATAAAATAGTTAATTTGGCGGTATAGTTTTTTTTACGATTCCGGCGGTTGTCATTATAAATGTACATATAGAAAGGGTGATAACCTTATTATATTACATTACAAATACAAGAATGGGTATAGAGAATTTCAGAAATGTATGAGCTATATATATTATACGGTATAGTTTGATATGAGTCAGCTATGTCGTTGATTGACGTTACGATTCTATGATTCTCGGGCTAATGCAGCATCATCAGTGATTCATATGTATTTATGAATACGGATTTAGCTTTTTATTCAGAACAAAAAACAATTGTGGATTACAGCCAAAAAATTAATTTTGTTTATAAAATACCTTTAATTAAATTAATATCAAACGGGATAATAAAAAATAATATAGCAATTTATAATCCATCAATCTCAGACGCTTTTTTCTGACTCGTCTGGTTTTTTTGGCCACTCTATTTTCTTCTGCGAACCAACTACGTACCAGACAAACCTTACGCACTGATACTAAAATAGACAATGACATGGCATGTGAAAATTCTTTTAGTCTTATTAGTAATAATGAAAAATTTTTTTTAATTTCATAATACACATTAAAAAAAAATTTTTCAAAGACTATGAAAGACTTAACTTTGGTAACTTTTCATATTGTTAATAAAAAGTTCATCTCTGCATGTAATATTTATCTCATAATAGTGCAAGTTCAATACGACTCAGCTAAACGTGAAATATAATTTCACACTGCTCTACGTTTGATAAGATATCAGATTGAAAGCGCTCTTATATAGCTTCGTTAATTTTCCCGATACTTTATAAAGCAATCATTTTATAAAGATTTTAATTGGTGCGAAAAAAAAAAAAAAAAAATGGTTACATCCTTTTAAAATATAAATTTGCTTTTTAAACGTTAATACGAATTTAAAAATTCCTTATACTATCATTTTATTGTAAATTGATTCACTACTTTTTTTTTTTGCTTGATATAACCTATTAATTTATCAGAAACTAAATCACCCCAATTATCACGTATCCTCATCCCGGTACTGACCGTACTTAGATTATAAATAGTTGGAAGGGATATTGGTAATTAATGAGAATAATGCTCGATTAATTATTTTGTTTTTGAATATTAAAATAAAATTTATTTATATCTTATAATGAAATCACTAAAATGGGTTTGAAAATATTTGATACCCAAAATTTAATAACTTCGTTATACCTGACCAGAAAAAAAAATATTGGAAAATAGAAAAAGCTCTGAAATAGGAATAGATGGAATAAATATTGGAAACAAAACTATTATGGAAATAAATTTTTTTTTCAATAATCTATCAACGATATCGCATCAAAGGTCTAACAATCGATAAAGTTTAATCAGTTTTTAGGTAGATTTCATAAAATCTATCTATTGCATTGGCCCTTGTGTTAAAATTCACACAGAATTTCGTTACTATATCAATTATTTAGTCGAGTAAGGCTTAAAAATGACGTTGGTTTGGAAGTTTATATATATATATATATTTATGTAACACGATAACTCCCACAATTCTTAATGAATCTTTATGAAACTTGGTAGACTTATTCTATAGACAATTAGCTTGGATAAGTTTAAAAATGAGCTGAATCCATCAAATAGTTTAGAAATGGCAGCCGTTTAAAATTTTCGAAAATCTAAAAAATAACATGTTTGGTGACTTTACTAGGGAATAACTTTTTATTGAGAAATGAAAGATCGTTTTTCTGCATTTCGTTTCAAAGCTTATGAAATTCTCTTTAATTTAACCTATAACAAATTTACTTTTCATCAATTACTCCAAAAGTTTAAGAAGCTGAATGTCATCTGAATCAGTTTCAGACAAGCACACAACACAATGCGACTTGTGGACACGATTACTTCCAGAATTCTTAATGAATCTTTATGAAATTTGGTAGACTTATTCTATATACAATTAGCTTGGATGAGTTCAAAAATGAGCTAAATCCCTCAAATAGTTTAGAAATAGCAGCCATTTGAAATTTTCGAAAATCTAATAAATCACTGTATTTTAAAATTATTGAGGAATAATAATTATTCATAATATCGTAATTAAAATCATGGATTACATGAAATCTACCTTCCATCTTGGCTGGTGCCAAATGGCCTTTTTTTTTTTTATTAAAATTGATTAAAATATTATTTTTAATTTCTTTCAAAAATTTTTTTAGTTGATTAATAAAAAAAAAAAAATGATAATTTGTGTTTCAGAAATAGTAATGTGTCTGGTGAAAGATCACCGTTTGAAGGATCCTGCTGCAGCGGGCAAGGGGCTGTGTGTGATAGTACTGAAAGTGAAGCCGAAGAAGTTTCTAAGTACAGGGTAGTGTTACTCGGGGATTCCGGGGTTGGTAAAACCGCGTTAGTTTCACAATTCATGACAAGTGAATACATGAATACTTATGATGCGAGTCTAGGTAAGATAAACACTCTCATTAATTATTATTATCATCACCTTTATTATTAATTTAAATATTTTGCATAAACCATAAATAAACCAAACTCGCATCAATTATTTTCCAACTTTAAATACAGTAATAAGATTCATATTTATTTTACAAAGGGTGACTTTATAAAAATAAATGTAAGCTTTTCATACTCTTGGTAAAAAAATTGGTTTAAAAACTTTTCACGACCTCGGTGCTTTGAAGTAGATGTTTTGATAAAAAAAAAAAAAAAAAAAAAAAGCTCACAAGAAGTAGTCAGCACATTTCAATGAATTTACCGAGTGATACGAGGTCTTACAGAACTCGAGTATATTTACATTATTATTCACACACAAATACTTCAGTGTAATTGGTCTGTGCAGTATTCCACGTGCATACATATAAGTATATAACTCTACCGTACGTTATTCTCATCGTAACATAACTTTCTTGCCATTTCTGAGCTTGTTGTACATGCATGAAAAAATTTAATAATGAGAAACTTTTTCGTTAAAAAATATTATTATTTTTTATTAAATTATTTAAACATTTATTATTATCTGTTAAAAGTAAAACTTTGATCAATTTGATCTGGTGACATTCATTCTCTAACTCTTGTTGCAAATAAATCTATTCATTTGTATCAAACGAACGAGAAGGAAAAGAGGATAAATGCTGAAGAGCGTAGAGAATCACAATGTAAAAACGTATTTTAGAGCTATACGTTCCATCAATGTAACTTTATCGATTCATAATCAATAAGTAATTTATCATCGGTATTCAGGATATTACAACGGGCTTTTCTTATAAATATATTTCCTATTAAACTGCATTTATTCTGTATTATAATCCATTACTTAAATGTCAACCTTTTATTTACACCAACTTAAATTTATAAATAATCCAAAGATCTGACATATATTACGCAATAAATAAAACATTATTCAAAGCTCCAATCAGATTGTATATTTTCATTTTGCCAATTTCTATACCTATAATTAGCTCGTTAATTAATTTAATTATAATTGTCCTCTGAAAATATGATTATCATTAAAATAACTTTTATCCGGCAGCATAAATTTATTACTAAAAATGATTGCCGGGTTAAATTAATTAAAATAAATTTCGCGTGAAAATCTAAAATTCTATTGTTCTAAAAGACACTTACAGAATTTCTGGCTTAATATTTTTGTATGCAAAGCATCGCAGATAGTTACGTAGGAGGTAGGAGGTAGATTGAGAAAATTAATTTAATAATAACACGTCCGACCGTCGAGAGAATGCTGTTCTGTTAATTTTTAGTACATCAACAGCACCAGGATTATTTTTAAAAAGTTAAAAATTGTGATTGACAGTTCAATTTTTATTCCAAGTCAGAGATTAAATATTTTCTATTTTCTACTTCTACGTTAATTTTATAAAACACTTTACATAAATTTTCTTGGTTCTATTGTACTCGCATCGTTTTAACTGTTTTATGTTTTTAATTACCTCAAGATAAAAACATTAAATAAAAGATTGTAACCTTTGATATTTTCACAAAGTTTTAAATTATTAAACAATTTTATACTTTTAATTATTATTGTGAAGCTTTTAGAGGATTATTTTATTTTGTTTTTATAATAATCGGTATTAAAAGCTCATTACAATATGTATGGTTGCACAACGGAATTTATATTTTGGAACAAAGGCTTCCAAGGTAGCTTGATAATAGATAAATTATTCAGATTTAATGGGATAGAATTAAAGGTTATTTTAATCCGAAAAATCCCTCTTTTTGTATGACAAATAAAAAAATAAAAACAAAACATTTGTTTAGTACATCACTAATAACATTATATGAGAAATTTCTACGATATAGTGAGGTTGATGTAGCCACAAAGGAAGCTTTCCTATCCTGGACTATATACCCTGTACAAAAGGCTGTTCAACCCCCCTTTCTCTTCTCCTTCTCCTTTCATCAATATAACAAAGCACACAACTGCGGGTTGGCTGTATGCACAGTATGTGCTAATGGAAAATCCATGTTCATTTTATGTACTAAATTGTTTTGATACCAAAATCACAAGTAAATATTTTCAACAAGGGAATTTATAAAAAAAATTTATGTCCTCCATCATCAGTCATTTTTTTTTTGACTTTATTAATTTTTATCATTACAGATGACGAATTTGGAGAAAAAACAGTATCTATTCTTCTGGATGGTGAGGAATCTGATATGATATTTATTGACCATCCTCACGTGGAAATGAGCGTGAGTATTTTATTTTATTAATAATTATATTGTCAATTAATTTAACGATGCATTTACTTGTATTAGTGATAAGTGACAAGGTAAATTTATAATTAATTTATTACTAGATGGGGAGAAATATATACTAAAGTACATAATAGAGGTGAAGACAACTCTCGAGTTGATCAAAAAAGAAGGGTTGAAATGGTCTTTTAGTAACTTTAAATTAAAAAGTATCAAAGCAATTTCAGGACTTTGGAAAATATGGATAAATCTTTACTAACAAATGAATGAATTTATAATTTAATTATTTTTTTGCTTTGAAAGTAATAATCGAGTTTTCAGTTTATATGTAAATTCACATACAAAACTCAAATTCCTATTTGTTTGATGATGTTACAGTTGGAAAATTCATTGACTACATACGAGCCGCATGCGTGTGTGGTTGTCTATTCAGTTGTATCGCGTCCAAGTTTTCAAGTAGCCGAAGATATGCTAAATTACCTTTGGCGTGAGCATTATACTCAAGATCGGTCTGTCATTGTTGTCGGTAATAAATCTGATCTCGCTAGAAGCCGCTGCATTGACGCTAATGGTAAGTTATATTAGAAAAATAATAGCTATAGTTGTCAGATAATAATTTATTTTAATTGAATTGATGTGTTTAAAGAGGGGAAACAACTGGCAACATCACGGGAATGCAAGTTCATAGAAACTTCAAGTGGAATTCAACACAATGTCGATGAATTACTTGTTGGGATACTTAAGCAAATTCGCTTGAGAGAGACGCGAGATAAAAAATTACGAAGACGGGGCAGTAAAAGTAAAATGCTTACCAAGTTACACGGCAGTAAAACTGCCCTTAGTCTTAATCTTGCCCGAGAAATTTTAAATAAAATGTGTATGAATGACAGCAAAAGTAAAAGTTGTGAAAATTTACACGTACTTTAATGAATAAAATATATATATATATATATATATATATATATATTTATAATTATTCAAATGAAAACATATCTTCCATTAACTTTTTCTCTTACATGTTTTATAGTTGATAAATATTTATATAATTATTCAAATATTTTTATCAGAAATATTGAATACATTATAATAATCAATGTAATGCCGTAACTTGATTTTATTTAGAATAATTATATAGATTTTTGATAATTATCTCAACAATATTTTCAACTTGAAAAATTAATCAACAGCCGGATTAATTGATGCGATAGTAAATGATTGTTTTTCAAATTATCAGTAAGAATTTCAATTAAACTTTCGTTATTAATTAAATCGCTATAATGAAGATTGGTATCAAGTAAAAATTATTTTCTGAATAGGGAAATAATAAAATATAAAATACATCTCTTAAATAAATTCTTACAATGCTTTAGTTGTTTTTTCCTTGAATTGTTATCAATTGGAAAGAAATTTCAACAAATTTCTTTTTTACATTTTACAATAATGTAAATAAATATAAAACGAGTCACTGGCGCACTATCACTCTGTTTAAACCATCATTGCGATGGTTTTACGACGGAAGTAAAAAATTTTATCTTTCAGAAAATAAATATTAAACTTTTTTTTAAGACCTACGATAAGACGCTGGTCGTCTTTCGATCTTTAATATTGAATTAACGATTTTTTAAATCAATAATATATGATTTAAATATTAGAATATAGTTAAATGTATGATGTATGTTAACTTAAAAGTCGTAAATATATTGTAAACTGACCAAGATATAGATATAATTAAAAATATATAAAGCTATTTTCTGTAAGCTTCTTATCTTGCTCTTATAAGCTGCAGTCAATTCTCGTCTTACAGAATATTAATTCTTTTTTATAAAAAATAATTTCGATTTAATTAAAAAGCCTATTTGTGAAGCGACTTTAAAAATACTAAATTAGCGAATTTATATTATTTTGTTTTATATTATTATAAAACTGTAATATACACTTTTTTACTGTCATGTGTAAATACTTAAACTAAAATATTTAATAATTTAAAAAAAATTTCAAAAAGATGTCTTGTAAGTGAAGCAGTCAAGTAGCCGCGGCCTAACTATGTTTAAGCAACAACAAATTCTTAAAATAATATTACTGCATGGTCTAATTGTTGATAGTGACTAACAAGATTCATCTATGAGAATTAGTATCGATAAAAGATTAAAAGTCGATAAAATATTCAAAGACAAGCAGTACTCTTGTTTGATTTGAAATTTTGTTGTTTGTAATTATATTACGAGGATTTACTTTTATTTTTATTGTAATTGAGTAGTCTTGTGTAACCAATATGTAAATGTATTTGGACAAACCTCATCAAACTATTATTAAAGTGTCAATTTAAAATTTTAAGAGTGATATAAAAAAAAAAAAATACTTGATAAAATGATAAAAACATATCCTTATGTTATTCTAAAATATTTAATCGAATATTGCCAATTAATATCTAAGTAAATATTATTACCATAGAAAATAAATTATGTCTGAAATTTTTATTAAATTTAATTAATTTAATGTCTAAAGTACAAAAGTGTATATTGTAAATTAATTTTTATTGTAATAATTTATTGACTTACCGGGAGTCTTTTGATTGAAAATAATTAAATTTTAGTGAATGTTTATTGGCACTGCCTTTGGCATACTCGAAGCTTTAATTAAAATGGAAAATGAATTGAAAAATAAATAGTATTATATTTATATTACATATTAAAAATATAAGTGAAGAAATCTGGATTGTTAATCAAATGATGATTATCGATGATACTGTTCGATATTAGTATATGTCATGCCTGTGTGTACTTTGATGTTATAAATTAAATAAAGACTAAATTTTCATCTAAATTTAAGGTCAAAAACTACTCAACTACTATTTTTATAAATATGTTATTCAATAACATCGTCAAATCATTTTCAATGTCTAAGAACTGTCACTCTTTTTTTATATGTTAGTCTTGAAAATTAATAAATGTGTGATAAATATTGTATTTACAGTCTAATTAATTAATTAATTAATTATTTTTTTTTTTTAATAACTCTAATGAATTTCTTTAATCTAGAATTTATAGAACATTTCAAAATTTCAAAGCAACGCAAAATTTACTCCAGATCCTCCAGATTATTATTGAAACATCTGCAATACATAGTAGAGTATATTTTATGGAAAAAAATATTTAACATAAATATATTTTTGACACTCAGAATTTTGTACTTTTTCTTTAATTCTGTAACGTATCATATGTAATAAATTGTTTAAATTATTGTGTAATACATTATATGTTAATGAAAAATAAATATTAAATCATTAAAAAAACTCACCATGTTTTGATTCTTGAAATGGAGAATTCGTAGCTTTTAAAATATTAATTTATTTTTATAAAAATTATTAATAAATATCAAAACATTTCTTCTCGTTAAAAATCCATCAATTATATAAAATAAATAAGATAGAAAGTAATTTTATCATCTAAAGTCAATATTGAATTCGGACTTATGAGTAAACGGCACATAATAAAATATTTTGTAAAACTTATTTTTTATCACTTTAAAAGTCCACTATTAAAAATGTTATGATTTTTTTTTTTTTTTTTATATATTTACACAATAACAATTTAAAATTATACTGTCACACTATAATTGTTTTTATCTACGGACGCAAAGGTTAGCTTTTATCGTCAACTGTAAAAAAGCGGCGCTACAAAATTATTTTACCAACTTGTGAAAAGGCACTATACTAGTTTGTTTTTCTTTAAAATATGTAATGATGATCATAATATGACAGCTTAGATAATTAAAATTGAAATAAAAACATTTTACAATTAATATTGTTACATTATTACTATATTATTTCAACAATAAATAACATTGAGTTATTTTGACTGTTTTTAGTTTGTATTTGTAACACTCGTGGCGCCACTTTTCTACAGCTGACAGTGATCTCAGTCAATACGTCACGTAATTGCAATTTGCAATCCATCATTTACCGTAATGTTTACTAAACTCACTATTTACTTATGCGTTATAAATTATAGTAATAAGTTTTTATTTATTTTTCATGGCTAACCTTATAATTTCGTTTTCAAGTACAATAATTCCCTTTATTACTATCTTTAGAATTTAATTTACTCACCAGTATAATATATAGATTTTGTATTTTGTTGCTTCAAGTTATTAACAATAAGTTTATTAAATTTTTGTAATAAGTGTATTTTAAAACGTGTAAAGTGATAAAGAGTATATAAATATGGCATCCTTGAATAGAGGTGTTTCTGGAACTGATTTTCGAAATGCTCATGTTGATGAAAGGGTAATTTATAAAAAATTTTTAAAATAATTATAAAATTTTCAATTTAATTAATTAATTACTTTTTTTTTTTTTTTTTACAGGAAACTCTTTTGGAGCATGATAGCGAGCCGGATGAAGATATGATTTTCAAGTAAGTTTTTATCACAATCTATTGAACTTGTCCATATGGATTGGAGTTGTCAATAAATAAATAACTTATGAATTATAGAAAAATATTTTTTTTAATGTATAATTTGTTATTGAAAAACAAATATTTCAATGTATATGAATTTGTTTTCAATTGTCAGAATTGCAAGTATTATTTTTACTCATATTTTTAATTAAACAAAAATTAATCCGCTTTGAGGACTTTTCAACATTTAATCCATAGTTAATATGAGTTTTATTAACAATTTTCATTAGCTTTTTGTTAATATTTATTAGATGGTTCTGTGGATTGTTTAAATAATAAATAGATTTATATTCGCTTGAAACAACGTGGTTATATATTCTGAATATCAGTACATAGTATATGTTTAAGAGAGTATAATAACAATGGTATCACTAGGGACTAAACTGCTGCCTTGCGGCCAATATATATACTAACAACTAGATAAAGACAGAAACTATAATATTTCAACACTTTTAATAATATATAATTACGTATAGAATTTTTGTGTTTAGTGAATGTATTTATAATTAGTTATTTCGAATAAATTGTATGGGATTGAAAATATATTTGATTTTCGATTCAATTGTAATACAATACAATAAAGTGTATTAAGTGGAAGTCATTAATTATTAATTAGTACTTGTATTTGCTTTATCGAGCATTGATTAATTAATTTTTAATATCAATTTTATTAAACCTGCTGTTTTATCAATTAAAAAAATATTAAATAACAAAAATTGCGAACTTTTAAAATGAAAGAAACGGGATTGCGTGAAGTACAGCTATTCAGCGTAAAAATTAAATTGTAGTTTTTTTCATAGAATGAAAAAAATAAAAACTAACTGAAAACATCTTAACTGCAAAGTTGTTTGAGCAAAGCAATAACTTTTTCACCAGAAAGTTTAAAAATTAACCGGAGATTGTCAAGATGTCTCTATAATTTGAGGTTCTTTGCTGTGAAATAATTATAATTTATAAACTTGTCTGTTTTTGAGACTATACAATTATGGGATCTTCAAGCAACAAATTCTTCAGGGCACAAACTAATTTTCTGCAACAGAAACTCCATTTATATTTTACAAAAAAATTGACATCTCAAGTAAAAATTTGCAGCTAATTTTATTTACTGACATGTTTTTTGTGGTCTGAACTTTTAAATGATTTATTTACCACATCCGTTATTCAGCTTAGAGTAAAAATAATCGTAAAACAATCTCGATATATCCAGATAAAAAATGAATAATTATTTTATTTGTAGTCGCTCCAGCATATCTGATGACGATGAAATCAAAGTTCACAAAAAAATCGATAGGTATTTATTTTTTTTTTTCTTTTTTTTTTTTTTTTTTTTTTTTTTATACAAAAGAATGAATTCAAAATTTCTAACGATTGTTTAATTTTTTATTTATAAAGCGTAAAAATACAAATACGTGAAGTAACTGATGTAATGCGTGATAACGTACAAAAAGTATTAGAAAGGGGAGAACGATTAGAGGACTTGCAATTAGCAAGTGATCGATTGAATTTTGCTGGTAATGAATTCCGCGACGCAGCCCGACGAGCACAACGTAGAGCGTGGTTACAAAATATTAAGTCCCGAGTAATTATTATTGGAATTACCGTGATTGCTATCATATGTATTATAGGTGAGTTAATTATTGAAATAATTGTTTTATTTTTTCGCTTTTAAGTCTCAAGATTAATTACTATTCATTGTTTTCTATAAATGTTTTATTATTTTGCATCTGGGATGACGATTCTAGCTTTTATTTATGTTTTTTTTTTTTTTTTATCACAGTTAGACCATTCTGTAATATTTTCAGTTCTAGACGTCGTGGTGCTTTATCTGGTTCTCAAATAATTATCACATTCTGGCAAAATCTCTTGCGAATACGAAATTAAGGTATTTGAGTTACATCATTCCCAATGCTTTTTATTTTATTTTAAATCTGCCAATATATATCTATATATTATACAGTACATTCAGCGACTTTACCTTTTATTCATATATCTATAGAATAGCCTGTTGATAACACTTTGCACTCATTGACTTACCCATTGGCGTCCAAGTTTTATTTTATTTTTAATTTTGCTTCAGAAAATTTATCATTTTAATTTTTTAATTATTATCAGTTATTTTTAGGGATAGTTAACAAAATATTGTTATTTTTATTATATAATTTAACGAGTATTTAATTAAAATCAGTTATAACTTAAAAATAGAGTCAATTTTATCATTTAAAAAAATTATCAGCTCAACAGCTGGTATAAAAATACTCAAATATCTTAATTTTATAATAATAATAAACTAATTTAATTACTTGTTAACAAAGTTATTTTTAATGTTTTTCAGTGCCTATTATTATAAACTACTCGTAATTGAGAAATGATATAGACGATGATATTTATCTGGATCATTGGAAATGGATTATCCGATAACCCAGTCTGTGTATTAAACATTTTTTACTTACTTACACACTTATAAATTAAAAAAAAATGTACATAGTTAACAGTTGTGTAATTTAATTAATTAAAAAATATTTTTTCATAAATCTACAGTCTGTTTAAACTTATTTAAAAATTATAATTATTACAATGGAGCTGCATGAGTGTGAAAAAAATTAAAAATTAAAAATTAAAAAAAAAAAAAGAAAAATCTAATCGTAAAATAACACAAAAGAATTGGATGATCGCGACGCCCATGCCTCCTTAATAACGAGCATTCATTGTGCCTGTGATGTAGTCTCTGTTCGTTTTAGTTTCAGTCACCGTTGCAGCGTCCGCCTGCGTTCATCATAAGTGAACTTGATGATCACATCATCTCATTTCTAGTACTTTATTTCTCTCAAGTTATATAAATAACATTCCTTATTTTATTGCCCAAGGAGCCGATTGTTATTTAACCCTAATGTGAACGTTTACGTGTAATTTCACTGTCAATTTTAAATTAAAAAAAAAAAACTTTTTTTAGTATTTTATAATTGAAAAATTAAATAAATATTACGATGGGTCTATATCAGATAGGCTTGTCCGCAGTGATTGCATTTATTGCCGCGTATATTTTTACCGGAAGTCGATGGCGTACATTGTTTATTATTTACAAAACTCTACCGAGAGATATAACGTAAGTACTTTTTGTTTGTTTCCTGATTACTTCAATTTAAATTTAATATTATAAATAATTGGATTTAAATTTTTATTAAGAGTTTAAAATTTATTATCACCATTAGGCTGTTAACGATTTCAATACATCACAACAGTCTATGAGTTGAAAGTTAAAATAAACTTACAGTGGTATATAGCATCTTGTGCATTCAAATTTAACTCATAATGCGCCACATCCACACACATATAACATATATATATATATATATAGTCTCTTCTTATGAGTATTTTCTTTATTATTACATTTAGAAATGAAAAATAATTTAAAAAAAAAAAAACAAAACTAATCAAATAACATTGAACAGGTTGATAATATGTTTGTTTATAAATAATTTATTTAATAGAAATAGGAGGAACCTGTGGAGAATTTGAGGTCATTAGTAGTGACCATGAGATAGATCGACGCATTAATATAAATGTGAATGTACACAAGAATTGAATTAACAATAATGTAAACATGAATTATTCATAGAATATTAAATAATTATTATCAAATCGTTAAACATAATACATATAATAATGCTCGTAATCGTGAAATAATTATATTTTATTGATTGAAGCAGCATAGTAGATAGTAGATAGTTAATGCTAAATACTGCGTATGTAAATGAACGCGACTATGGTTAGCTGGATAAGAGTGTCGATTTAGTTGTTGAATAAAGTATGATACAATCATGCTGACGATGTCCAAACATTTATTCAGAGCTCTGTAATTTGAGATAAATATCGATAAAATAGACCTCGTAATTGATTTGTATAACTGTGAAATTGATATTTATTTATATTTCAAACCAACTGATCTATACCACTACTTTATATTTATTGATATTATTTCGGTGATAATTGCAAAACCGTATCGCTAATCGAGTATGCACGTGATTTAAATTCTTAAACCAATTAGATAAATATTTTAATCTATTTCGTCACATAAAATACAAAAATATTACAATTAATGATAAGGACTACATCAATAATTATTTTGTTTTAAATGAAATTATTTGGATAAAAAAATTTATTTACATTAATTAACAATTTTTATGATTACGAGCATATCTTTATTAATTTTTCTACATTAATTATACTTGATTTAACTGACAAGGTCGTTTAAAAATGAAATGTTTTAATAAAAAATGTTACAGCGGAGCATTTAGATTTTTAAAAGTAAATTTTTTACTGTGGTATTGGGAAAAGCGTCAGTTTACAGTCGCTAAATTGTTTAAGAGACAGGCCAAATCAAATCCAAATAAAGTAGCGTTGATGTACGAAAACCAGGAGTGGACTTATAAACAGGTGAATATCAGTATTAACAATATTAATCAATGATTTATGTCTTATGAATTACCATTAATAAATCACTTAAACTGTTGAGACATTATCGATAATTATGAGTAATCACTAATTTCTTAGCATACATACCGTCATTGTAATGATAATTGATTTATGAACACGTAAATGACGATTGTCAATTAGCATTAACATAATAACACCATCAATTTCTACTGCAGTTAGATGATTTTAGTGATCGATTAGCATATTCCGTTCGCACTCAACCAATCAAGAGTGGTGATAGTGTTGCCTTACTTATGGAAAATCATCCGGAATATATTGGAATTTGGCTGGGATTGAGCAAGGCTGGTTTTGTTACTGCCCTAATCAATACCAATTTACGGAAAGATGTTCTAATTCACAGCATTAATGCTGCCGAGTGTAAAGCTATCATTTTTGGTGCTGAATTCAAAGATGGTAATTCATTTATTATTTTTTCAAAATATTTTCAATATTTTTGGTTGTAATAATATTTCATTTATATTCAGTAATTTTTCATTGCCTTGAGGGAAATTTCTATTAAAATTGTATGAAAAATAAAATAAATTCATATTTTATAACAACATTATAAAATTACAATTAAAAAATAATTAATTTTAATTGAAATATGATTCAATAAAGCATTTTTCAGTCAAAAATTATTAATACAATTTTTCTGCAGTTACTAAATTAATATTAAAATTTTTAAACACAGCAATTGATGAAATAAGAACAAAGATACCTAATATAATTTTGTACCAGTGGTCAGAAGATGAAAAAACACCAATTTTGAAAAATGCCATTGATTTAAAGAGTCTGATAGCTAGAAATTCAGCAGATTCTATCAATATTGACATATCGTTCGGTCATCCTCGGGATAAATTAATTTATATATACACATCTGGAACCACAGGAATGCCTAAGGCTGCGGTTATTAATAATCTCAGGTATATAACATAGCATAAACAAAGTAATAAACTAAATATAATTTTACTTAAAATAATAATTCTTGTATAGAATAATATTTTTATATCGTTTCAATAAAAGTTTAATATTTGTTACGTTTTTTTAGGTACATGTTGATATCTTGCGGTGTATACTACATGCTTGACCTTCGGCAGACGGATCGTATTTACGATTCGCTGCCACTGTACCATTCAGCAGGTGGTATTGTTGGTGTTGGTCAAGCACTTTGCACTGGAGTAACCGTGGTGTTGAGGAAAAAATTCAGTGCCTCAAAATTCTGGGATGACTGTATTCAGTACGAGTGCACTGTAAATCCTTTAATTTGTTTTTTTTTTTTTTTTTTTTCAAAACTCTTCTATCCAATAAAATAATCTTGTTTTGTCAGTCATACGAATGTAAATCGGGTATGGATATTTGATTTTATACAGATTGACTATTGTTTAGGTTGCTCAATACATCGGAGAAATTTGTCGGTTTTTACTATCAGTTCCCGCCAGCCCTAATGACACTAATCACAAAATCCGGCTTATGTTTGGCAACGGGTTGCGACCTCAAATATGGGAGACATTCGTTAAACGATTCCAGATCAAACAGATTGGCGAATTCTATGGTGCGACTGAGGGAAATTCAAATTTAGGTACCGTGATCAAATAATGAGTAATCCGTGAAAAAAAAAAATCGTCAAAGTAAATAAGAGATAAAAATAAAAATTTTCACTATTTTTATTTTTACTTTTATTTTTATAGCCTTTGATATTTTACTAATTTATATATTTTTTAGTTGGAATATTTATTCATTATCACTACTATTAATTTATTTCAGTAAATATTGATAACCGGGTAGGTGCCGTCGGGTTTATACCTAAATTCGCTGGTCGCTTATACCCCGTTACTCTGTTGAGGATTGATGAAGAGACTGGCGAGCCAATTAGACGAAATGGATTGTGTGTTCCCTGTAAAGCAGGTTAGTGTTGATTATAATTAAAATAACGTACAACTATGAACCAAACAGTTAATTAATTACGGCACTGATCAAATTATATAACACAGAGAGCTATTTTGCTTTATTTCAGAGTTAAATTGATGTTGTACGTGTACTTTGGAAATTAATATTTTGAAATATCGATTAAAAATTTTATAAGTGTTTGTTTTTATTATTTTTAGGCGAGCCCGGAATATTTGTTGGGAAAATAAATCCCAAGAAGGCAGTGAATGATTTCAGTGGGTACGCTGATAAAAAAGAGTCGGAGAAAAAAATTCTGTATGATGTCTTTAAAAAAGGAGACCGCGTTTTTAACTCGGGTGATATTTTAGTAATGGATGAGCTCGGGTATTTTTATTTTAAAGACAGAAGAGGAGATACCTACAGGTTAATAAAACAATAACTTTTTTACGGAGGGGGGGGGGAGGGTAAAAAAATACCAGCTTTTAATTATTGATGTTATGAATTTTTTTACGATAGATGGAAGGGCGAGAATGTCGCTACCGCTGAAGTAGAAGCAGTTATCAGTAATATTTTAAGTTTAAAAGACGCTGTAGTTTATGGGGTTGAAGTAAGTTAATATTTTTTAATTTTTCATGCGACATGATATTAATTTTGAAATAATTACTCCGTGTGATTTAAGATTCCCGAAAACGAGGGTAAGGCTGGAATGGTTGCAATATACGACCCTGAAAATTCATTAAATCTTAAAGAGTTGGCGGAAGGTATAAAAAAAGGCTTACCGTCATACGCCAGACCACTTTTTATTAGAGTTTTATCACAACTACCTCTTACAGGTAAATATTATTTTTTTTTTAATTTATTTTCATCCACGTATTTTGAAAATAATTAAATTATTTCATTAACTTAGGTACTTTCAAGCTTCAAAAGCGTGATCTACAAAGAGAGGGATACGATGTAACAAAGGTAATTGGTGACTATTAATTAAATTTCACTGCGCAAAAATTTTTAGTTGTAATTTTTAAATAACTTTTCAGGTAAAGGATCCCGTATATTTTTTGGACAAGACCGGCAGCTATGTACCATTTACCGAGCAGTTTTATCAAGAGTTACTGGCAGGAAAACTTCGAGTCTGATTGTAAATAATTTTTATTGAAAATAATAATTTAGAAATTAAAAATTATTGTTGTTACATTTAATAATTGGCAGGAAATATCTCTCAATTATGGAAATTAATGTATTTCACATCACCATTATGTGTTGTAATAGAATTATATTTATACTTCAGATATATTTTTATAAATTTTAAAATAGTTATTATTTTTTTGAATAAATATAGTCTAGATTTAAAAGTTTTGCTCAGCTAAAAGACAAGTAACAAAAAAAAATGCAAATATTATTAAAATGTAAATTTATTTTTAAGTAAAAAGCTCAAATGAATGAAAATGTTCGGTCCATTCTAGTGATTTTTAATTTTTAATATTTTCACAACAAATTCGTAAACGAAAGTGGGCTGTGTATAAAATTTTAAAAAGACGGATAAATGAAATTTACTGTAAAAGTTTTATATAAATATTTACATTAGCATTAAGATGTATTCGTTCATTTTTGAATGGAATAAACAATTGTAATACTCTTCTAGGCAACTAAACAATTATAAGCGATTATGTTATTTTTAAAAATAAAAATGTGTACTCAGCCAAAAGTTTTTCCTCCTTCGTTATTATTATTAATTTTCATTTAATCACTGATTAAATATATTAATATTTAGTTGTTACGATAAGCGAGCGTATCGTGTCGAAAGGAATTAAAATAAATTTTTAATTCATGAACTAATAAATTTTAAGTAGAATTATTAAAATACCGGCGGGTTAATTCATTGTAATTTCTGATTACATATACTTAAGTGGAATATAATAATCTTGTCTCCACGCGATCACGGGTTCTTTTTTTAAAAAAAAAAAGATAAACACACTGACACACTGGTTTGGTTGCGCAAACGCACTAGACTTCAGTGATTCTCATACTTGTTGCTCGTACAGTTGTAAAAGATAAATGATTAAAAAGTTTAGGACATTAATTGTCGTGATAAAAGAAAAATAGCTACATTTATTCGCAATCTGATAAGATAAATTACTACACTAAATAAATCACGACGATACACTTTTAAACAACGATTACAGCTGTCAAAGAACCACTGCATCGATGATATTTAAATTCATTATTTTTACAACGCAGTCAGTGTCAGTTTATATATGCGCTGACTCGTTCGTGTAATAATTATTTTTTAATTTTCCTGAAAAAAAGTTTGAAATTTTATGAATGTTAAATTCAATTTAGTTGATTAAACTTGTGAGTGACGACAACTGATTGTGAAAATTCCAGAGGTATTTTATTAATTAATTAAAAATTATGCAATGATTAAATTATACTAATTATTCAATAATATATGTGATAAAAAGTTATAGTAATTGAATTTATTGTGGAAACTTACCAGACACGCGTTTGTTCATTGGCGTAGAAGTCGGTAAACAAGTATGTTTTATTTACTACGCTTTAAAACTGTCATTCAGACACTATAAATACAGTAGATACCTTTTTTTTGTTGAAATTTAGCATAATTTACAGCGACAAAATATAGTTTTTTTTTTTTTTCTTTTGTATTATACAATTACGAAATTTTTGAATATTTAAAAAAATTAATATTAACTATCATTTTCTGTAATTGAAATTAGAAAAAAAAAAGTTTTCTTTTACATACTACGATAAAAAGAAGTAGTAAAGAATATAAAACTTTTTCGAAAGGTTATTTAGAGTTGAGGAATAAAATTTTAAAGTCAAACTAACTCATTATTATTATTATTATTATTATTATTATTATTATTATTATTATACAAATAACAATACGGTTAATTTATTATTTATAGAAGTGTATTTAAATTTTTTGATTCTTATCTTCAAATTAACCATTTAGGATTAAATTTATTTGTACACATCCGTGCTCATTTATTGACATCGATTTAAACAATTGTTGACAGTTTAAATAATAAATATTTGTAATGCATATGAAATAGCAACAACCGGGATATTATCTATTATTATTATAATTTGAACGATAATATGATACAGTATTGAAATTTGATAATAAAAATATTTCGATAGACTAATTGTCCTGCAATGCAAATTTATAAACATTGCTAATAAAAGAACCCACACGATATTGATTATAGTTTAGGTCGATAAACTCTAACAATATTATAAATCTCACTTGTTGAATTTAAATTCAACAGGTAAGTCGATTACTTATACCTATTAACGATTTTATATTGCTACTTCGATCCTCCTTTTATTTATAGCAACATTATAAAATATGTACGGCAATAAAAACACCAGTATTTCAATTTATACATTATTTTTGTTTTACGAATAGAAGTTATCAATTTTTGAGGAATTAATCGTGAATTTAATTGGATTGTTGCAGTTGATAAAATTATAATTACCTGTAAGATGACAATGACGGATGATAAATTTGGATTTGCAATTGATCGTGGTGGCACGTTTACTGACATATATGCACAATGCCCTGGGGGTAGAATTAGAGTTATGAAATTGTTGTCAGTTGATCCTGCTAATTATGATGATGCGCCGAGGGAAGGGATTAAACGGATATTAGAGCAAGTATGTCGACTATTTAGATGAACTAATAGATAGAATATTTAACATTTTAATCGTTTTTCCGATAAAATAAGGAAACTGGATGTTTAATGCCGAATGAAGTGGATACTTCAAAAATCGGATGGATTCGTATGGGAACAACAGTCGCGACAAATGCACTGCTGGAGAGAAAAGGAGCGAAAATGGCGTTGTTAATAAACGAAGGGTTCAAAGACCTACTCTACATCGGAAATCAAGCTCGTCCAAATATTTTCGACTTGCAAGTTATTATGCCCAGTGTTCTTTACTCCAGAGTAGTTGAAGTTAAATGCCGAGTAGTTCCTAGCTTGCCGGGTAAATGCTCGCTCGATAATTCCAACTGGCGGAAAGTTAAAGGATCAACTGGTGAAGTTTTATTCGTTACCCAAGAGCTCGACGAAAGTGCTTTAATAAACGATTTAAAGTCTTTGAAAGAAGATGGTATCGAAAGTCTTGCAGTTGTTCTAGCTCACAGTTATACGTATGCTTATTTATTTTTTTTTTTTTTTTTTTATAAATATCGATTCAATTTTGGTACTTGAGTTTGGATTTTATTTGCAGTTTTGCTGATCACGAATTACAAATCGGTAAAATTGCCGGAGAAATGGGATTTCCCCAAGTTTCTTTGTCTCATGAAGTAATGCCGATGACAAGAATCGTACCCAGAGGATTTACAGTATCAGCAGATGCTTATTTAACTCCTCACATTAAAACATATTTACAGGTACATAAAACAAATACAAGTAAATAAAATATATCAAAAAATAATAAAATTTTTTACGGTCAGATATAAAAGTTTATTCGGTATAGATTTATTGATTTATAATATATGATGATATTTGATATAGGAGAAAATATATATTTTCCCCTTTATTTTCAACACATCTATTCGGTAATAATAGTTTTCAAAGTTTTCAATAATATTCGAGTATCGATAAATTATAATTAAAATATTAACTTTATTTAATAATTATTCAAAATTGGTATGTGTTCTTATAATTTAGTTGTTCTATAAACTAATAAATTATAAATTCCACGGTGAAATAGCATAAAATTACTATCCATTGATTTCGTACCACCGCATGCAATTCCACACGGCAATAAAGCGCTCACTGTGCGAATTACGAATTCCGATATCACGCTATAGTGATGGAGGGTTGGAATTATTTCTTATTAACTTTATCTCGTTCGCGGCTATCGAAACTTTTCCTCAATAATAAACTCTAATAAATTTTTTTACAACCCATACGATATTTTTTCTTCAACAACCTTAAAAGTATCTTTTTATAAAGATAAATACTGTTTTTCAGAGCTTTTCATCGGGCTTTAAAAATAATTTAGCGGGTGTAAACGTACTTTTTATGCAAAGTGATGGCGGACTTACGCCAATGAATTCGTAAGTAAGAAGAATACATACATAATAATAAAGACGACATTATAATGGAATATTTGAGTATAATAAATAAAATACATTTAATGGCTCAACACTCTACAGATTCAATGGCTCACGTGCTATTTTATCCGGTCCAGCAGGTGGAGTAGTTGGTTACGCGATGACTACTTACAATAAAGAGACAACATTACCCATAATTGGTTTTGATATGGGAGGGACATCCACTGACGTCAGTCGTTATGCGGGATCTTATGAGCATGTTTACGAGAGCACTACTGCCGGTGTAACTATTCAAGCGGCTCAGGTTTTTCTTATTTTTCTTATTTTTCTTATTTTTCCTTTTTTCCCTTTACGGCGCTGCTATCCGTACGATTTAAAATTTCCGTAAAAGTCATAGAATCCATTTTTAGTTGGACATAAATACCGTTGCCGCTGGAGGTGGTTCGATGCTTTTCTTTAGATCGGGGCTTTTTAAAGTCGGTCCAGAAAGCGCCGGAGCCCACCCAGGTCCAGCTTGTTACAAAAAAGGCGGCCCTTTAGCAGTAACCGATGCCAACCTTGTACTAGGCCGACTTTTGCCAGAATACTTTCCCAAAATTTTTGGACCCAATGAAAATGAACCGCTTGACAAAAATACTACTGCAGTTGCATTCAAACAATTGACCAGCCAAGTATGTTAATATATATTAATTGCTACAATTTTTTTTTATATCCAACTTTGATAAACTTTGTGTAGGTCAATAATTATTTAAAAACAATTCATGGTGAAGCAGCAACAGTAATGTCGATCGAAGAAGTTGCCATGGGGCTAATTAAAGTCGCCAACGAAACAATGTGTCGTCCAATTCGCGCTCTCACTCAAGTAAAATAAACATTTGAAATAGAATTTAAAATTATTATTCAAAAATTTAACACCAAAACAATGAAAATTTAGGCAAAAGGTTACGATACTTCAAAGCATGTTTTGGCGTGTTTCGGAGGAGCCGGCGGACAGCATGCTTGTGCAATAGCACGTTCTTTAGGCATGGGAACTGTGTTTGTTCATAAATATGCTGGTATTCTATCAGCTTACGGAATGGCGCTCGCTGATGTTGTCGAAGAAGCTCAAGAGCCTAGTGCTGAAATTTATCACAAAGGTTTTAAGCATACCTAAGCCGTAACTAGTTACTGTAGTTATAGTAATTTATTATTTAATATTTTTAACCAGACTCATTCAAAAGATTGGACGAACGTTTCGAGGATTTGGAAAAAAAAGTCCGCGACAAATTGCACAGACAGGGATTTTCTGACGCTCAAATAACTATAGAGTATTATTTACATTTGCGCTATGAAGGCACAGACTGTTCGCTTATGTGTAAGCCAAAAATCAATAATAATGAGCTAAAAATGCATACACAGCATGGAAATTTTGAAGATACTTTCTTAGAAAGGTAACGGATTATTTATTTTTTGATAAAATTAAATTAAAATGATATTATTTTTTAAGGTACCAAACCGAATTTGGATTTACAATGCCCGATCGCAAGATTCTTGTTAATGATATTAGAGTTCGTGGAACAGGACAGTCAAAAATTTCAGAAGAAATAGAATTGCCATCAGCCAGTGATTCACCGAAACCTGAAAAAGTAATTTTAATTAATTAATAAAAGTTTAACCTGGAAATAATTGACGTATAATTTGTATGGTTTAATAATTAACAGTATGAATAATATCTAATTACAACCGTTGCTATTGAATTAGGTAACATGTGTGTATTTTGAGGGAGGCTTTCAAAATACAAATGTATATCAAATGGACGGCCTCAGTTACGGTCATACAATTAATGGCCCAGCAATTATAATGGACAGTTTAAGCACGATATTGATCGAACCTGATTGTACAGCTTGTATTACATCTCGCGGCGATATACGTATTACTATTGGGCAAGGTTTACGGACAGATATCACTACTGAATTAGATGCAATCCATCTGAGTATATTTTCTCACCGATTTATGAGCATCGCCGAACAAATGGGCCGGTAAAATTAAATAATATTTAATAATTAAATAAATTATCTGATGATAAATCATGTTGTATTGTTCAGAATCCTCCAAAGAACGTCTATTTCAACAAACATAAAAGAACGTCTCGACTTCTCGTGTGCTATATTCGGACCAGATGGTGGACTGGTATCAAATGCACCTCACATTCCAGTTCATCTAGGGGCAATGCAAGAGACAGTACAGTACCAAATGAAAGCATTCAAAGGCGAATTCACGAGAGGCGATGTAATCCTAGCTAATCACCCTTCCGCAGGTGGTTCCCATTTACCGGATTTAACTGTAATTACACCTGTTTTCTATGGGTACGTTACCACAAGTAATTAATGCTTATTCATTTTATTAAATTACATTCTCTAAGATCCCCCCCCCTTTTTTTTTTTTTCTCTTTTGTTCCTGACAGAGATTTGCCAAAGCCCGTATTTTTTGTAGCCAGTCGAGGACATCATGCGGATATTGGTGGCATTACACCTGGTTCGATGCCGCCCCATTCCACTACTCTACTTCAAGTAACTATTAATTTTATTTACACGTCTCAAACGCCAGTATATGTTGAAAGTACTTTCAAGTAAACTTGTTAAATATTTATTGCGCCGACAGATGTGTTAAACTTTCAAGTTGGAAAAAAATAAACTTCAACACGAGCGTTTATTGAGACAAGAGTTAAGAGATTTTCAAGCTTTCTTTTATTTTTAATTAATTAATGATTACTATTTAAGGAAGGCGCGACATTTAAAAGTTTCCTGCTGGTAAACAAAGGTCATTTTCGCGAAAAAGAACTGACCGATGCATTGATGGCGCCAGGAAAAATCCCCGGTAGCTCAGGAACGCGAAATTTGGCAGATAATCTGAGCGATCTAAAAGCTCAAATAGCAGCCAATCATAAGGTTCAATGAACTGTTGAGATATATTGAGTTTTTTTTTTTTTTTTTTTTTTTTGAGTGTATAAGAAGTACATGATGAGGATGAGGATGAGGATTAGGATTTAGTATATTTACTGTAAGATTGGTTTACAGGGCACGCAGCTGGTAAACGAGCTCATCGACATTTACGGGTTGGATGTCGTCCAAGCGTATATGGGTCATATCCAACGAAATGCGGAGTTGGCTGTACGGGAGATGCTCACCAGTGTTGGTGAAAAGTTGTTACGGAAAACAGCTAGCACCACTGTCACGGCCACCGATTATCTTGACGACGGAAGTGTCATCCAGTTGCATCTCAATTTTTGTATCGATAAAGGAGAAGCTGTATGCGACTTTACGTACGTTTCACTAATTTAAATTAATTAGTTATTTTATCAGCTACACGCTTAAAACAGTTATTGATAGACTTGCGTTATTTATTTATTTATTTTTACAGCGGTACTGGGTACGAAGTTTGGGGTAATTGTAATGCTCCACGCGCAATCACGTTATCTGCGATAATTTATTGCCTCAGATGTATTGTCGGGCGCGACGTACCTTTGAATCAAGTATATATCAGTTTATATTGTTTGAACTTTACTCTACTTAAAAATAATAATAATATTTGCCTTTTAATTAATGTTTTAAAAAAAAAAGAACTATAATTTATTTGATACCTGACACTGATTTCAGGGTTGTTTAAAACCAGTGAAGATAATAATTCCAAAAGGCTCGTTGTTGGATCCCTCCGAAGAAGCCGCGGTTGTCGGAGGGAATGTTCTAACTTCTCAACGAGTTGTTGATGTAATACTGAGAGCGTTTGGCGCCTGTGCTGCATCTCAAGGATGCATGAATAACATTACTTTGGGCACGGATACATGGGGTTATTATGAAACTGTCGCCGGAGGAAGCGGAGCTGTATGAAAACACAATACACACATTATATCTCAAAATAATATTGTAATTGAAAAGTAAATTTGTTTGTCTTTTATTTATCGTTTAAGGGACCGACTTGGCACGGTCGAGGAGGAGTTCACACCCACATGACAAACACACGAATCACTGATCCTGAAATTCTCGAATTGCGCTACCCCGTGATACTAGAAAAGTTCTCGTTGCGCCCGAACAGCGGCGGAGATGGCGCTTACCGAGGTGGTGACGGAGTAATTCGTCAAATGAAGTTCAGATCTCTGATGACGTTGTCAATACTGACGGAAAGACGCTCTCATCATCCGCCTGGGATGGAGGGCGGATTACCCGCCGCAAAAGGACGAAATACTTTGATAAGAGCTGACGGAAGAAAAATAAACCTCGGGCCAAAGACGGCTGTGCCCGTTTATCCGGGGGTGAGTTTTAATTGTTATTTATTTTTTCAATTTATTCTCGTTTCAGAGATAATGTGATTGATTAATTTAATTCTGATTAATCCAAATGAAATGAACTTTATTCTTCAAATTAATTGTTAAGAATTGTTGGAGTCTTTTTTATGTCGCTAATGGTGAAAATACATTAAACATTTAAATATTTGGACATTATTATACATTATAGAGGTTGTTTAAAATGTATAAAGTCCATTATACTTAGTATTGTGAGAGGATATAAATATGTTGTATATAAATATAGATATATATTTGTATACATTATCAACATAAGACCTGGATTACGGTAGTTTTATGCATCCTCGTAAAGATTTTATTCGTACGAATGCAATGCGACCTCTTTCTTTCCGGCACACCGCCTTTTTCGTGTTCGGTACCTCTCAACATATCGCTATTCATTTCGTCCTGGCTTAGATCATACTTGGCTGCTTGAAATACACCAATATATATATATATATATATATATATGTATATAAATTTAAAGGGATGTTAATAAATATGAAATGATCTTGGGTTTTTATTCTTGCGTAATTTTTTTATATGGGACGTTGATTTAGTAAAGAAGACCGAGTCAAAAGGGATAAAGAAAAAGTAATGGCGATAATGATGATAAAAAATAAAGAAATAAAGAAGAAACTGAGGATTATACTTTAGAGACTGACTTAATAGGAGGTATATACCACTGAAAAGATATGCTTCTATTTGCTGTACTGTGTTCTAAAAGGAAAATGTGTAAGACAGGTCTGTGGCTGGAGTAGTAGGGTAAAAATCTTCTAGTAGAGTACTTATCAACATACTCATCTTTTTTTTTCCTCTGTTTTTTTATTTTTTTTTTTTCCTCACTCATGTACACTCTCTACAAAGGAGAGAGATGCATGAATGCTTTATCAGAGCAGCGTATATATTGGAGCGAAAAAATAAAAATGTTAATTGTACGAAAAAAAAATAAAAATGTGGTAGAGTCACACGAACGTTGAAAGCACTTAGCTTAAAAAACGTTCAAGCCAAAAAATTTATATCAAACTGTCGGGAGAACTATTTTATTAATTATAATTTATTAACTTTTCTGTTAATTTTTTTTTTTTTTAATTGTGTTTTCAAGGATATATTTCTTCTGGAGACTCCCGGTGGTGGGGGATTTGGAGTTCCTGGAACAGAATCATCCGTTTTTACCACGAGTGTTAAATCTTTTGTTGAGCGTGGAAGCGTTTATGAGTACCGAAAAGCACAAGAATCTGTTTAATTTTTTTTTTTTATAACATTTAAAGTAACAATTTATTGTAAGAAATTATATTTTTAATCAATAAAATTCATTTAGACTAAAATTAATTTATTGAGCTTCATTTACTTATTATTAATGATCGTTAATTATGAAATGAATAACACTGAGCTTGATCCATTCCATAGAAGATAATTTTGATGTTTCATTTTCAAACTACTAACAAATGAACATGAATCCCAGAAAGGATCGTCTATAAATAACATCAATAGACGTATTAATTAACATCAGTATAATTACAACATTGCAACATTTAGTTATTAATTTTTAGTTATAAGTACGAATGGTTCTCTATAATATGGAAACAATGATTATAGAAATTGATTATTTCTAGAAATATAAATCAATTGAAAATTAACCTTTTAATTTTAATGATAAATTTTATTTTTTAATTTAAGTATTCTATTTCAATTAAAATTTTAATTTATATACAAACCGATGTGCATCGATTACTAAAAGCAAATAAATAATTACCACTGTTTCATCCTATAAATACAAATTTCCAATATTACTAATGACCAATCAAGCATCGTTAATGGCTTTTTTTTTTTTTTTTTTATAAATTCGCACAATATCTATTAAACTTCGACGGATATTTTGACTATAAGTAAATTTGCATCAAATCCAATTTACCCAAGAAATTGTATCTCTGAATTTCCACTCATATCTTTAAGGTAATTTGTGTTCTATTTCCGGTTCTGACAAAATACTATACCTTACGATCATCCAATAAATTTAATTTCCGATTTGAATGATTCTGTAATTTTTGCTTTTAAGATGTCAATTTTAAATTAGAACAAAATTTATAGGGTAAAATTCAAGAAAACGTATTTAATGATACATTTGTGGAGTTGATCATGATAGTACTTCCTCTTATATGATTCATAAAAAGAAAAATGAAGAATTTTTGGGCCTGTATCACTCAGATCCCGGAGGGTGTTTAAACTTTTATGACGAAAAAAGAGGCTAAAATTTTTACAAGTCAGTGACACACAATTGGGCGTAGAGAAAAGAAGAAAAGAAGAAAAAACTTTTTGAAGATAAAGGTCCGCAATATTTTACCCTGAAAGACTTACGAGACATAAGAACCATGATAGCGATGTAATCATATTGAATGAAATAAAAAATGTAGATATTTACACAATTTTATAAAATATTTCAACTCGTATATTATTTGAAAATACATATTTCATTTAAGTTTCTCTTGAATTCTAGTCACTATGTATGTTGTTAGTTGTTATATTTAATACGGCAGAGATTTAATCTTTATATTTAGACATTTATACTGAGTTTATTAAATTATTATATTTTATAGTAGCTGTTGTGTAGCTGAAGTGATAAAATGAACTAAGTGTGGAAATGAAAGTGCTGTAATAAGGAAATTACAAAAAGCACCGAAGAGTATAAACAACATCAAAAGCGAAGGTTCAGCTACTATACTGGTAAGCCAAGTGGTCGAACAGTGGCTCTAGTTCCACTTGTTCGTAAACTTTATTTGCCCTTTTTCACCTGCAATTTATGTTCTTTAATATTTTTTGCTAAGATGTTGAAAAAGTTTATTTTCGATCACGTCATACACGATGTTATCTCGTCACAAATAAAAGACATCAGTCTTGGTTAACACTTTATCGCTCTATTACTTTTTATGTGTATTAAAAGTCTATAAAAATGATTTAATATTTTTTTCAATTATCGAGCTCATTTTTTCCGTCTATAAAACTCCGTCTATAATTAATAACGGGAGTAATTTTATTTATGATTTTTTTTTTTATTTAAAAATAGAGGTGTGCTGTTGTGCTCTGGATAGTAACCATCAGACAGAGTGTATAAATTACCCGTTGCATCAGAGAGAGAGAGAGATAGTTATAAAATATAATCTCATCTCAGGCTTAGAAACATTTTCCCAGCACAGCTCAGTCACGTTATACTCTGATGTCAATTGCTCCACTGTGCACATATCATGCTGCATAAACTCATAAATTTTCCACCAAGGTGTCTCATAAAAGCTCATCTTTTTAGTAGATAACATAAAAGTATTACACGAAATTTTATTATTTTTGATTCAAAGGACCGAGAGTTTCAATGATTAATTCGATACTCGTTTAATCTCGAGGCTATAATAATATCGGAGATTAAGTGTGGCCGTATTGGGTGATTATCTAACTCAGTATAGCGAAGATCAAATGTCGGATTAAGCTCCTCGCCACTCTAATTGAATTGCGCTTGAATTAAAATTACTTTGTAATCAAATTACTATGCTAAGTGTTAATTAAATTACTAAAACCTCCTAGAAAAAAAGTTCTTTTTGACACTGAAGCCATAATTGAAAAAGTTTACCTTGATTTTATAAATAGTACAATGGAATTATTATTATTATTATTATTATTATTATTATTATTATTATTTAGAGATCCGAGAATTTATTTAAAAGTTTTATTTTATTTTTTAAAAGTTTTAAAGTAATATATCATGTATTAAAGTACATTATAAATTTTATTAAAAGTAAAAAGTTTTAACTAGAGATCAATTTGATGTGTAGAGTATAGAAGTGAGATTGGATTCAAGACTCCAAGAATGACTCAAAGACTCACAAGATTATGCGCTCTGAGAGAACTTTCAATGAGTTAGCACGAATAAGTAAAGATGTGTGCGCCCTAAATGAACTCGACGTGAGTGATTGGCCTCCAGGGCAACTTTAGAGTTAACACCCAGTCTCTTTCAGTTTATATTACTTGTCTTGTAATCAGTGCAAACTAAATTATTCTGCTGAGTATTGTCAACTTTTTACCCGGTATTTGTTTGAGTTCCTTTTTGCATTATACAATCGTCCAAAGCTTTCATAAAATTCATTCAGTCATTCAGAATTGATTCATTTTTGGAGGTTCATTGCCCGAGAAGTTTATGTTATTCAAAAAATAAATTGTGTTTACGCTTCTTCCACTGTAGTAACTATCAATTCCACGGTCCTCAATTTTAATCAACCACAACGAATTCGATGAAAAGCATTCTAGTCAATTGATCCATTTGGAAAATACTCTGTTCATTTTTTTTTTTACAATGTTGACCAAATTTTTGTCGGTTATTGCATCAACAATTCAACCAAATTTTGAACCAAATTATTTTGATGTAATTATCGTTTCCTCTTTGAGTAATTATGCATGAATGAGGCTGTATATTAGATAGAGATCACCGCAACACCAATTATGAACATTGTCAATTTGTTTGAAGAGGATTATAATGCATATCCTCGGGGATAATACTTGCTGACTTACTGATGGACCCAACAAGTTCATTCCTAGCGAAATAATGTAACATTAATTAGTTTTTCGGCAGATTGGTGAATACTATTTTGTCAGTAATAAATAGTTTGAAACACTATATACTTAAGGTTATTTAAACAGATATTTTTAGTATTTTAAAATTGATCCACTCCCAGGAACATAAAGTTTAAGCTTTACCAACCCGACACATCAATTCCATTCCAACTGCTTTCTATATATTCCGGGGCAAAGTTCGTAATTATTTACGTTCTATATATAGTACCGAACATCTCTAATGTTTCACACTAAGCTCTAATTATTTTAACCTCAATTTTAGTTTATAAAATAATAAAATAAGTCGGAGATCAAATGTTTATAAATTTAATTTTAGAGTTGTAAAATATTCGATTACTTTTTTTTTTTTCAAATAAAAAAAATCCAACGCTTGCCACCCTAATACTGTCAGTAGCTTCATTTTATATTGTAGTCGGTAGATAAAGACTACATTGAACGTTCATCCGCCCCGAAAGTACTTTTTTTTCTTTTTTTTCCGTTATCAGAATCTCTCTTGAGCTCTATGAAGGGAATATTATTATTATTACTTTACGTCAGTTATGCATACATAGCACACATCCCTTGAAAAATATTTCCAATAATTGACCTCAATAACTAAATATTAGCTCTCATAAATATTTAGATCCTTTTGAGAGTCGATCAATCGAATGAATAAGATGAGAATGTATGAAAAAATCTTGAAGCATAGAGCTTGAAGACGAATGTACCACTTAAGGGTTACTTTCACTCAGCTCCCATGTCTGCTCCACTTGTCTTGGCTCGTAAGTTTCGATCAGTATGTAAAGAGTGAGTGATATGATGTGAGTTTCTATCAATACGCAAGCGTTAAGTTTTACAGGGTAGTCATCAACAACAATGTTATACGTTAAAGTGTAGGAATGTATGTATGTCTGGAGGGATAGAGAGGCTATGTGATGTCTATATGCCTGTGAAAGGTAAGCCCGAAGCGGATAAAAGTCTCTGAGGAATAAGATAGGTGTCATCGTAGAAACAGGCGCGGTGAGGTTTCGATCTTTTCTAAGCCCTTGGGCAATGAAGATGGACGATGCAGATATATGCAATACCCGTCTTCGTCTTCGTCTTCGGCTTTGGATTTCTTTTTTTTTTTATTCTCTCTTGTCTTTTGTCTATATCTTCTCATCTTTGTATTTCTGATTCTGGGATACTTTGAACTAGACTTTTCCAAGATTGTTCTCGTCTGACGTTGAAATTTTATCGTACAGATTCCCATTTTATGAGACAGAAAGGACTCAAAAAATATCAATAAAGTTTGATAACCTGTAAAAGACAAGGTGTTGTAAATTGTTAGGAGCAATAGAATAAAATAAAAAAATATGTTTTTTTTTTAAAAAAGAATTTTAAATATATGTTTTACTACTGATTAATTATACTGGAGATTTTTCTTAAAAGTTTATAAAAGAATTTGACACTTATTAAAGTTTATCTTAGCATAAAACTTTTCTGTGGATGATGATTCGCCTTCTGGGCATTCATTATCATAACTGAAGAATTTTGTAACAAAGACTTTGAAAGTTGTTTTAACTAGGTTTTAAGTATATTACGATAAAATTGAACGATAAATGTCGCTTAATTTCATAAACAGTTTTATAAAAATACTCTTTAACTAAA